TCAGCAGCAGAGTAGCACAGCGCAAGGGCAGATGTCTTCACTGTATCTGGTTGTGATCCCCAGGTTGTGCCAGTCAGCTTTCAAGACATCCGGGCGTCCCCTGGGCAACGTCTTCATAGACGGCTGATTCTCTCGCCACAGAAGCGACCAGCATGCAAGCAAGGCAGGGTGGAGGAGTAGACAAAACTTCCATAAACACAGACAAAAATCAATATTTGTACAGCATAGAAAACTATTTTGCTCTAAATAGTTATCCATACTGTCAAATAATGTACTAAAAGAAGGATATATGCTAAAACAATAAAACAAGGATATATGCTAAAACAATATAGTCCTTTATCCATTTTTTCTAATGTTTTGGTGAGGAAAAATTGCTCCAGGATTTTCTCATCTCTTGTGTGGAAGTTGCTTTTAATACGATGGCTGCTTCATTTTTCTGTTATTAATGGATTTCAACATTTAATGCTTTTTTAATTTTTGGTTTCAACTGTGTGCCAATTATGGGAGAAAGGTGGAATAGAAATTAAATGCATAGTGCACTTGCTTTTCTGTATGGGTCAAAAGTTCAGTGAAGCTGGAGAGTAATAGCATTTCCATACTTCTTTGACTGTCATAGCTGCATCTTGTGGAATTCTGGGATTTGTAGTTTGATGATGCACCAGACCTCTTGGAGGACCTCTCTGCAGAGAATACTATTTGCCCAAACTTTTAAGCCAAGAATTCATGGTGTCTCAGACTGTTGGGAGGCCGGACTATAGTTTGAAAAAAACATATAAATGAAATCCTATGCATACTGCACATATCTGATATGTAGTGCAAAAAAAATAAAATAAATGAAAGAACAATACAACATTGAAAATGAAAAACAGTTGTAACCAACATAAACTTACCAATATTTTACTGGAAATGTAGGCCTGTTTTTGGCTGAAAGAGTCAAGTTAATTAAGATTGCTGGTTTTGTGATTGACAGTGGATGGATTTTGGATTATGACTCTGAACTTGGACTTGAATTTGTCTCTTTTAAATTGTCTTTTAACTTCTGACGATGTTTTAATTAATGTTTAACTGTTTTTAGTATTGTTGTAGACATCTAATGGTTGCCAATTGTAATCCTCCCTGATTCCCGTCTGAGGGTGAGAAGGACGGGATATAAATGTCTGAAATAATAAGAAATAATTAATTAATTGTGTGCCTTCAAGACTTTTAAGGTTTAGGGCAATACTAAGTCTAAAGTTTAGGGCTGGAGCCGGGTAAATGGCCTTGGAGGGCCACATCTGGACCTTAGGCCTTAGTTTGGGGATCCCAGCTCTACAGTAAAGAGGGCTAAATATTCCATGAAACTATGGAAGAGTAGATCCATGGCATTTAAGGTGGGATCAATGTGATGTTCTTGTATGTAGAGACCAGAGAATCTCCTTTTAGACTAGATCTATCTTTAACAATTGATGGGGGGGGGGGGGCAGCTATGGGTGCATCTTCCAGTATTCCATTAAAAAATAAAAATAAAATCTGTTTGGAACCTATATACGTTATTATATCTGCCAAAAATTCCCTGCATAGCATTTGAAGAAATTGCAGTCTTTTAATCACACCCAATTTTGCTGATCATCCAAACCAGCAAAAAGTTTTAGGATGTTTTTAAAGTCACATTTGGTGTTACTCTATAGAGATGTTTGCATATATATTAAAACCTGAGGTGGTTTTAAACAGCAGATATTAAAGTGGAAATAAGTGATTTTAATGTTTGTGTATATTTATATTTTTATGTCCCAGCATTGAATGTTTGCTCTATCTATGTTGTGCTCCGCTCTGAGTCCCCTGTGGGGTGAGAGTACGGAATATAAATGGTTTTCATACATACACATACATATATACACTTGAAAAATTTGTGTGTTTTGGAGAGAGTATTCACTAAGGCAACCAGCTTTAAATATTACCGCTATGTCTCTCCCTGCACTTTACTCAAGCATCTCCTTCCCCATCCCTCATCCTTGTTGCTTTGTTTCTGTGTAGTTGGTGCCAAGCACTTGTGCTCTCCTTTCTCATCTTTCTCATTTCTTTCCAGTCTTGCTCTCAATTAGCATCCTCCGCATCTCACAAACCAAACCCTGGTTCTTTCTCACTGCTTCCTTTCCCAGGTTAGCTTTAAATTTATCGCAGTCTTTTTTTACAAAAACTATGCAGCCCATTTTTGATTCACACTCTCAGTTTTTTCTTTTCCTCCCTCCCACCCCCTTTCTCTGGCTGATTCCCAAGTTCCCGCCCTCTTTGACAAGCAAACACAAGACCGACTAAACCACTAGCTTACGGAAATGGCAGCAAAGAATGTATTTTGACTACCAGGGAGCATTCCAGACTGCTTTGTAGCCAGCTTTCTAAGAACAGAGTTTTGGAGACTGAAAGAACCCATGAGCCTACACTTTTGCCTGCTGGGGGTACATTTGATCCAGGAAGATTCAAAGTGGAGCATTTTTTCATACATAAAGATGAGGAAACCAGTGTTTTTGTTGTTCATTTGTTCAGTCGTCTCAGACTTTTCGTGACCTCATGGACCAGCCCACGCCAGAGCTCCCTGTCGGCCGTCACCACCCCCAGCTCCTTCAAGGTCAGTCCAGTCACTTCAAGGATGCCATCCATCCATCTTGCCCTTGGTTGGCCCCTCTTCCTTTTGCCTTCCACTGTCCCCAGCATCATTGTCTTCTCTAGGCTTTGCTGTCTCCTCATGATGTGGCCAAAGTACTTCAACTTTGTCTCTAGTATCCTTCCTTCCAGTGAGCAGTCGGGTTTTATTTCCTGGAGGATGGACTGGTTAGATCTTCTCGCAGTCCAAGGCACTCTCAGAACTTTCCTCCAACACCACAGCTCAAAAGCATCTATCTTCCTACGCTCAGCCTTCCCTAAGGTCCAGCTCTCACATCTGTAGGTTACTACAGGGAATACCATGGCTTTGACTATGCGGATCTCAGTGTTTACCAGTGCCTTTTTGTTGGGGTTTGGAAATAATTCAGATTTTTAGAGTCTGCAAGATATTATTTTTCCTAGACATTTATGCTGAAGGGATTGATAGTTATTCTATTTTTCTGAATTTTCGAAGACGAAGAACTTACGATTTTTTGAAGTCTGCATTTGGCCACCTATCTCCATTTTTGAAATCTGGGCCTTTTAAAGGGAAAGCTTTGGTTTGTGACTTCATTGTAGGGTGTTGCTCAGTTCTGCCACTTGGTGACACTGTAGTTTAGTTCCTAGTTCATATGAGAGCTGACTGTGAATGTCTTTATAAAGGGCAAGTAAATGTGTTCTTTTAAAATCCTAACAGTAACTACACAAGAGAAGAAAGGCAAATACAGGCAGTCCCTGAATTACAAATGACTCATAGTTAAGAACGAGGGTGAGATGGCAGGAAATGAGAGAAATCTACCCCTAGGAAGGGAAATTCACTCCCGAAAGAGTTATTATAATGAGGGAAAGGGGTTTCAATTGAAGCTTTATCTCCAACCCTTGTTTCCACAACAAGCCAAATTTTTCAAAACCCATTTATCACAGAGACAGAAAGTGAGGTGAAATATTCTGAACAGGACCACAGATAGTAAAACAAACACCACAGAGGTGTTAACCTTTACTATGCTGTCCAAAGCTTTATATGACTAAAATTACACTTAAAATGTACCTGTTCTGACTTGCATACAGCTTCAATTTAAGAACAAACCTACAGAACCTATGTAGTTCATAACTCGGGGACTGCCTGAATGTAATCTTGGTGTTGAAATCTTGTGTTTAGAACGTTTCCCCCTGTTTATAGATCTTTATGATTGAGTAAAACAATACAATTTCAGAGGAGTTTTGTGGTCAACACACTCCATAATGTAAACTGCATAAACAAGTGAATAGAGCCCATCTGACAATTTTGTAATGTAAAACACATTGATTTATTGCCATACACACACACAAACACACACACATATACATACACACTCACACAAAATTCTAATACAGGTTATTGAACATGCTCTAGGCCAGAAGTGTTTTACACCTTAGATTTCGGATTATCTGTATTTGCATATAGATATATAATGAGATACCTTTGCAGAAATTCTACACCTGAAATTCATTATGGTTCATATAACACGAAAATAATTTTATACAATATTGTAAATACATTTGTACATAAAACAAAGTTTTGTGTTCACTGAATCATCAGAAAGCAAAAGAATTGCCCTCTCAGCCACCCATGTGGACAAATTTGGATTTGGAGTCTTTTGGATTTTGATATTCCAGATAAGGGATGCTCAATCTGTAATGTCTCTGATATATGTTACAGAAAACCGATAACACATTAATATTGTACTTTTGTACTTAAACAAGTTGTTCTCTGTAATAGGTATCACACACTGCTCAACGTGTAGACGGCCATGATATTTTGCAACTGCATGAGGAAGACAAATAGAATGCTTACATGAAACATGTTGTTTTGATGATTCCCCCCCTCCCCCCATTGTGTTGTCAGCAGAGACAAATTCTGAGTGTGATTTCTTGTTGTGATTCATCAGAGTAAGGTTGGACTGGTTCATCATACCTTGCCAGAATCCCAGCAGCTGGCAGATGCAAGCAAGTGGCACCATTTGCACACAGTGTCCTTTGGGATATGCCATTATATACAATATCAGTTTTTATATGTGGCCAGGAGCCCCTCGTGGGACATTGGGTTTAACCGCTGGGCTGCTAAACTTGCTCACCGAAAGGTCGGCAGTTCGAATCCGGGGAGCAGGGTGAGCTCCCACTGTTAGGCCCAGCTTATGCCAACTTAGCAGTTTGAAAACATGGAAATGTGAATAGATCAATGGGTACCACTCAGACAGGAAGGTAACAGTGCTCCATGCAGTCATGTTGGCCACATGACCTTGGAGGCATCTTCGGACAACGCTTGCAGGATATTCTCAATTCGCCCCTGACACGATTAAAAATAATGACATCTGCCTCTTTTGTTTTTTTCTTGTTTCTAGTTCCAAGAGAGCTTGTAGAGCTTCATCTGAAACTGATGAGAAAAATTGGGAAGTCTGTCACAGCAGATCGATGGGAAAAATACTTAATCAAGGTATAGTGTGTTTTGTATTGCATATTTTCAAAGTCCCTTATTGGATGATATAGACGGGTTAGGAAATTCAGAAAATGGGAGGTTTCTGTTCCACTTCTGATTTTATAACTGGTTGATATCTGCCCTGGAATCCATTGCCTTGGGTATTTGGCATTATGGGCTGGCATGGGTTTCCATCACCTAGTTATGTGAATTAGCCTAAACTTAGGTTCACTTTTTAAAATCTCCTAGCAATAGCGTGATCTGACTACATTTTTTATCCCAGCTTTTCTTTAGGGAGCTCACATACCATTCCCTGCATCAGATAAATGGATGTGTTTTAGGTGGGGTCAGGAATCGTAAGACCATTTCACATTTTTTTTGAAAATGTAATCAGTTCTCAGAGTTGTTGCCACTCAGTGTTCAAGGTTTAAGGTTGAGAAGCACATATTTAAAAGCAATTATAAGTGTATATAACTATTTCTACATTTCTCTGGAAGAGAGATCCATATATTTTAAAGTCTCCACTTAAGGGGAAAGTTGACAACCCCGGAAAGAAGACTTATCTCATTCATCCCTATTCAAACAGAAGCCACAGTTGTACAGAAATCTCAAGAATCATTTTATTCTCATATTTAGCCATAAAAATTATGTATTTATGTCCCACCACTGCCATCATAGTCCTTCACAACTCTAATTGTGGGTATTGTTACTGCTAATTGTTGTCAAGTTGGGCCCAGCTTCTAGTGACTCTATGAATGGAAGATCTCAAAAGCCTTCAGCAATTCATCTGAATTTTTCTTTCCCTCTCAGCTTCAGTTCTTTCTCCATCTCAATAAGCTCTGAAGATTTGGGCATAGGTTTGGTGGCTGTGGTTGCTGTGATTGAAGACCCTTCATTAGTTTAACATTTTGCTTTCCAGATGTGTCAAGAATTCAACAGCACCTGGGCATGGGAGATGGAAAAAAAAGGCTATCTTGAAATGAGCATTGAATGCAAATTGGGGATACTGAAGGTATTTTTCTTCTCTTATTAGTATTTTTCTTTTGGCTCTTCTGCTCCTCCTTGCCAATATCTTACTCCATTTCTGAATTACTGTAATTTAATGTTTTGTCGAAGGCTTTCATGGCCGGAATCACTGGGTTGTTGTAGGGTGTTTTGGGCTATATGGCCATGTTCTAGAGCAGTGGTTCTCAACCTGGGGTCCCCAGATATTTTTGGCCTACAACTCCCAGAAATCCCAGCCAGTTTACCAGCTGTTAGGATTTCTGGGAGTTGAAGTCCAAAAACATCTGGGGACCCCAGGTTGAGAAACACTGTTCTAGAGGCATTCTCTCCTGACGTTTCACCTGCATCTATGGCAAGCATCCTCAGAGGTAGTCTGTAATATATATGAGATTCTCAGATTAAGTGCTGCTAACTTCAAACTGTGGCTTAAAGTTGATTGCAAACCATGATGCAAATCATAGTTTGGAAAATAATCCAATTTAAGTCTTGATGTACTAACAGTAAATATGAATACTTAAACAGTAAATATGAATACTTTACATACTATAGAAGAGTGAGAATCTGTTATTCAAGAAAAAAAATTCATGCTTGCTTTTGTTGTTGATTTAAGAAAGGGTGGAGATTTTCAAATAAAATGGAGAATAACCAAGAGCCGCCTTGAGTCAGACCATTGGGCCCTCCAAGTGTTTTGGACTTCAACTCCCACAAATCCTAACAATTCTTAAGCAGCTGAGGGGGGAAAGGGGGGAAAAGAAGGAGACGGAGGTTGTTAGGAATTGTGGAAGTCCAAAACACTTGATGGGCCCAAGTTTGCCCATGACTGCTTTTGACAGTCAGAAGCAACTCTCTTTTCTCAGTTCTTCCCTATCTCCAGAGATCCTTTAAAATGAGAAGCTGGGGATTGAACCTGCGACTGTTGTGACTGTCTGTATGCAAAGCAAGTGCTTTGCCACCATATTCCAGCCCTGCCGCGCTGCTTTTATAAATAAGGCTCTTCAGTGATTATGTCTTGTTCACAAGTATAATGGAGGATGCATAGGCAAAAAATGACCTGACCTGCTCATAGGAACTTCTTCTCTGTTTCAGTACCTTTGTGAGTGCCAGTTTGATGACAATCTGAAGTTTAAGAACATCATTAATGAGGAAGATGCGGATGCTATGCGCCTTCAGCCACTTGGCAAAGACAAAGACGGCCTGACATATTGGTTCCAGTTGGACCAAGAGCACAATGTGAGGATGTACGTAGAAGAGCAGGATGACCAAGATGGGACCTCATGGAAGTGCATTGTCAGGTACGGATGCAGTTTCCAGGTGTGTCTGACTTTTGCAGGTTCTTTTCTTTATTTATTTACTTACTTCATTTGTATACCACTCTTCTCAGCCCTTAGGCGACTCAGAGCAGTTAACAGCAACAGTTTAGTATACACAGTACAAAATCATTGGGCATTTAAAAGCAATAACATAACAGTAAACATCAATACAACAATACATCAATGTAACAAATCCGTCAGGTCTTATCAATAGAATCAGAATCCAGTCTCGTTATCCATTATTCCATGTTCCGCTAATCAATCCATTACACTGCTTAGTCAAATGCCTGTTGAAACAGCCAGGTCTTCACTTTTCTCCGGGATGCCAGTAAGGAGGGGGCCGATCTGATATCTACAGGAAGGGCGTTCCACAGCCGAGGGGCCACCACTGAGAAGGCCCTGTCTCTCGTCCCCGCCATGCGTGCCTGTGAAGCACATGCTTGGGACCGAGAGCAGGGCCTCCCCAGACGATCATAATGTCCTAACTGGTTCATAGGAGGAGATGCGTTCGGACAGGTAAATCCGTAGCAGATGGTGGAAATGTGTTCAACTTAAGTGAATTATTGGTGAATACTGGATGTTGTTGCATTACTGTATAGTTTTTTTTCTTTGAACAATGCAGATCTGTTAATATTTTTCTAGACACATAGATAGATCTAAATTGGGGGTAGGGAGTGGGGTCATGGCTTCTTACGTTACAAAGACAATATTTACTCCCTAAAGTAGGATTTGGCAATTGTTAGGAGCCAAGCATTGTGTTAGCTACTCAGAAGATCATATTAGTTTCTCAGTGGACCCAACCACCCCCAAAATTTGAAAAAAGCCAATTTCGGGGTTCATTCTCCAGTAGAGTGATCTGGAAAAAAACTGTCCTCAAAGTCTTTTCGAAAGCTTTCATGGCCAGAATCACTGGGTTGCTGTGAGTTTCCAGGCTGTATAGCCATGTTCCAAAAGCATTCTCTCCTGATGTTTCATCCACATCTTTGGCAGGCATCCTCAGAGGTTGAGGGGTCTGTTGGAAACTAAGCAAGTGAGGTCTGCAGTGCCTTTCATGCTCCTTGATTCATGTCTGGGCAATGCTGCGTTTGGAGATCCCCGTGTAGACTTGTCCACAGCTGTATGGAGAGAAGATATGCTGGATGTTCTGGAGAGATTCAGAAAGGCAAAACTTTTATTGTGGCAGGTAATAATTCTAGATAGAGAAAAGGAATGTGTTGTCGAAGGCTTTCATGTTATACTCCTGCAGCAGTGAGAGGATCCCTCTTGACCTTTGCTGAATGTAGTGTGGATCAACAAACGCAGCACCCAAACACAAACCAAGGAACATGAAAGGCACTGCAGACTAATTCAACCTGAGAAGTCAACCATAGCAGAGTACTTGGTGGACCAACCTGGACACAGCATATTATTTGAGAACACAGAAATGCTGGACCACTCTCGCAACCACCATGTCAGACTACACAGAGAAGCCATTGAAATCCACAAGCATGTGAACAATTTCAACAGAAAGGAGGAAACCATGTAAATGAAAAAAATCTGGCTACCAGTATGAAAAAACTCTAAATCAGGACAGGAAATAAAGAGCAACACTCAAAAACAGAGGCATTCCAGATAAGAATCAACCAGGGTTAACACCTCCCAACAAAGGATTTCCCCAGGCAGCAATCAGCCGGGCTTTGAAGCTGCAAGGCCATTAAATGCTAATCAGTTTGGCCATTTGCAACATTCACACTTGCCTCAAGCAGACCAGTTATTTCTCCCACCCTGGACATTCCACAGATATATAAATCTCACTTTTCTAGTTTCCAGCAGACCCCTCAACCTCTGAGGATGCCTGCCAGAGATGTGGGCAAAAAAATATATTCTTAATTATAATGAAGTGTGGCTAAATTGCTTCTCAGAATTCCTGGGGTGTATTTGGCATGTCCATTTGGCAGCCAAAAATCCGTTCTGGGATAGCTGACAGGGAATCAGCAGTGCCTTCCTTTGTTTGGAATTCCTTATGATAGGAGGCACTTGGGAGAAGACCTCATGTCTAGGCGAAAGGTTGCAGGTTTCTTAAACCAATTCACTACTTCCTAGCAAATGTCCACAAAGTCGAATACAGCCCAGGAGTGGGATCATGCATGAGATTTGTTTTTGTGAGGTTTTGTTGGATTTCTTGTTTTTCATCCAGAAGCCGAAATGAGCTGGCTGAAACTCTTGAGCTCCTGAAAGCACAAATTGATCCCGAGCTATTGAAAAAGCAGCAGCAGAATGATTCCTCACAAGAGAACCCCAGTGCGGAAGACGGCGAGGCCAAAAAGGGGGAAGCACCGGCAGCCCAAGGTTTTGCTACCGTTCTCCTCTTGCAGTGGGCACTTTGCATTCTCATTCTCATCCTTCACTATTTGGGAGGATTTCACACTAGCAATGTGGGCGGAGGGTGAGGCTCGATATTAAATGTCCCTAAAATAAATAAAAAGAGGTTATTGTTGTTTCAACAAAACCTTGAAACGCTAGTGTCTCAGTTTGAAGAGTTTGGTGTCACAAAATCTAGTTAGAGACTGTGGAATGGGAATTATTGCTGTGTTTGTTTCTGAAAGTGAATAAATAGTTCTCGTAGAGGTAGTGTTAATACAGAACAGTAACCCAGTTATTGTGTATGATGAGCTCATCTGTGCTAGAATGAATGAGTCTCCTTCGGAAGAGCTAAAGCAGGGTATAAATAAATATAATAATTGTATATATAAGTGCAGAATTGGGCAGTTTTTATTTAATATGTTGCCTATCTGAGAATCCTCAACTCATTTTTAAGACTTGTATTAGATTTTAGCTTCACAATACGTGTTTTATGTTATGACAAATATGGCATGTGCAGCTTTCTGAAACTAATAATAATAATAATAATAATAATAATAATAATAATAATAAACAGGAAAAGTTGACACGATATGAGGATTTAAAAATCGACCTACAAAGACTCTGGCACAAACCAGTAAAGGTGGTCCCAGTGGTGATCGGCACACTGGGTGCAGTGCCTAAAGACCTTGGCCTGCACTTAAACACAATCAGCACTGACAAGATTACCATCTACCAGCTGCAGAAGGCCACCTTACTGGGATCTGCACGCATTATTCGCTGATACATCGCACAATCCTAGACACTTGGGAAGTGTCCGACGTGTGATCCAATTCAACAGCCAGCAGAGTGTCTGCTGTGGACTCACTTTGTTGCGTTTCAAACAATAATAATAATAACTTTATTTACATTCCGCTTTATCTCCCCAAAGGGACTCAGGGCGGATTCCAAACATAAAATGCAAACATTCAATGCCCGAATACAACGAATACAACAACAATACATCCATACTAACAAATTTATACAATCCAACATAGAAATATAAATTATAACTTAACAAACTGAAATTAAATAAAAAGCACAGCCAGTTATAACAACGCTATTGTCAATAAATAAACTCTGGGAACAAAATAAACATATCAGCTATATTATAAACAAATCATCAAGTGCATCATAACAAGAACAAGACCAGTTAAAACAGATGAATTTGAAGTTTAAAAAAAGGCTTGAGCAAATGAAGAGTTCTGGCAAATATCTCTAATTGGACCTCTTTCAGCCTTTTTAACTTCTCTTCTAGATTTCAAATGGCAAAAGAGGTATTTCCCTTCCCAGTGAATATGACCTTTGTCGTTCCATATGGCAGACAAGAGACCAGTTAATAGTTTCTGTGTGATAATTGTTTTTAAATTGTGTTAGATTTTAGTTATTCTTGTAAGCCGCTCCGAGCCCCAGGGGAGTGGCGGCATATAAGCTCAAATAATAAATAAATAAATAAAAATTATAATTTACTCTTACACTATGCTTTAGCCCCAAGGACTCCGATTTTAAAGAAAGCCATTGTCTTGTATGTCAGATTCTGTTGTACCAAAATGGTTTGATTTCTGAAAAATACAATTGGAACTATACCGTAGCTTAGATTTCACATTTGTGGCCAAGATTCTAAACATTTCCAACGTAGCACAAATAATACACCATGTTATTCCACCAGATCTCATCATTTCCTAGTCATTTGAAGAATAGGCAACATGGCCTTGTTTCAGCCATTAAAGCATAATGATTTAGCTCTGTCGCAGCCTTTGTGTACTTATGGAATGATTGGCTGGAGGAGGAACGGCACGTATGCAATTCAGGAAAAGTCAACTAACTGTTTAGTTATTTCTCCCATTTATTATACCACCATAGGGACAGAGTAGTGTAGTGGTCTTAGTGTTGGAGTAGGGCTTAGCCACAGAATCCTACTATTTTCTTTGGCAAGTCACATTCTCTCAGCCTCAGAGGATGCAAATTTTCCCTGAATCAATTTTCTCAAGAAAATTCCAGAATAGCCTTGTCAGAGTGGACCTGAAGGAACATGGCAGCAGCAACAGCATACCGTATATACTCAAGTATAAGACGACTCAAATATAAGCCGAGACATCTAATTTTACCCCCCAAAACTGGGAAAATTTATTGACTCGAGTATAAGCCGTGGGTGGGAAATGCAGCCACTACTGGTAAATTTCAAAATAAAAACAGATACCAATAAAATTACATTACTTGAGGCACTAGTAGGTTAATTGTTTTTGAATATTTACATAAAACTGTAATTTAAGATAAGACTGTCCAACTCTGATTAAACCATTATTCTAACCTTCTTCAATGTAAATGTGTTTACGTATCCTTTCAATAATAATAGAGTAAAATACGAAATGTAATAATAAGAACAACAACAATAATAATAGAGTAAAATAATGAAAATGTAATAATTATAGTAATAATAGAGTAAAATAATAAATGTAATAAAGTAATAATAAAAAATAATGGAAATGTTATAATAATAATAGAATACAATAATAAATATAATAATAATAGAGTAAAATAGTAAATGTAATAATGATAATAAATAGAGTATAATAATAAATGTAATTAAAAAATTAAGCAAAGTTTATTGTTTAGTCCGCTCACTGTATCAACATTAAAAAAACAAAAACAGAAACGTACACAAATAGACAAGAATCACTATCCTAAGACTCCCATAATAGTGAACTAACATACATTCAAACTTGATTAAGTTAAAAGATAATTAAAAATAAATGTAATAATAATAGAGCAGAAAAATATACATAATAAAAATAATAATAGAGTAAAATAATAAAAATAATAATAGAGTAAAATAGTGTAAATGAAATAATAATGAATAGAATAAAATAATAAATGTAATAATAATAATTAATAGAGTAAAATAATAAATGTAATAATAATAATTAATAGAGTAAAAGAATGTAAATGTAATAATAATAATAACAACAACAACAGAATAAAATAATAAATAACTTTGACTCGAGTATAAGCTGAGGGGGCCTTTTTCAGCCTTCAAAAAGGCTGAAAAACCTGGCTGATATTCAAGTATATACGGTAATACCACACTAGGATTCCGGCCTACACAACTAACATTAATTACATTTTAAAAATTGGAATTATGTTCTGTGATGGTTAGGGGAAAAAATTGTCTGAATAATAATCTAACTTTTCTTCTCTTTTTAAAAAAAATCCAGAAACTGAATTAAAAACGACAGGAGAAAAAGAAGAGATAAAAGAGGAGCAGACAAAGCAACCAGAAAATCTTCCCTCTGCCGTAATTCCAGAAGAGGAAAACAAGTTAAAATCGGAGAGAGTGGAGGAGAAAGAAATTATAAAACTGCCAGTTATTGTCAAGCTAGAGAAAGTTTTGGAAAACAATGGGGAAGTGCAAAATACCAAAGAAGAAAAGGACTCTTTTAAGGAAAACGTTAAGCCTATTAAAGCAGAAGTGAGGGAGTTTAAGCTAGAGCCAAAAGACTTGAAAGATGTACATAGTATCGCAGAGAAAACTGTTCATGAGCCCGAAAGGACAGAGTTCTGTGTCAGTGTCAAACCTCCCCAGGAAGTGGTGGAGAGGACTGTGGAAGAAAGTGAGAAACTCAAAAATGACCAGCAAGCGAAGATCCCCCTGAAAAAGCGGGAGATTAAGCTGACGGACGATTATGACAGCCCGTTAAAGGGACCCTTGCGGAAATGTATTACCCCAACCAAGGAGGTTTTGAAAGAGGAGGCGAAACAGGAGGAGGAGACTTTTAAAAGAGTCCCTACCATTACTGATGGGAAATTCCTTGTGAACGGGGAGGTTAGTAGTGAGAAAATCATGCCAAATAATAAGTTGGACCATTCACCCAGCGTGAAGGAAGACGCCGGCAGTCTCTGTAAGGAGAAAAATGGAGTGAGTGGTGAAAAGACGGCAGAGGCTGTTAGCACAATTGTAAGGACGAGTGACGCAGAGAGAAATCTCTTGCATGCGGGGAAGGAGGTGGCTAGCGTGATTACTGCGGTTCCTCATCAGAAAGTGCCTTTAATGGAGGAAACTGGCCCTAAAGAGAAGGAAAGCGTACTTGTGAGTAAGAGCTCGGATGTTATTGTCGAGGCAGCTTCCAAAAAGGACGATGGTCTCAAAAAGCCCGCAGAACCCGTTAAAGAAAATGATAGTTTGCCCCTTCCCGAAGGGTGCCAAGATAAAACTTCTAAAGTATCTTCCCCGAAGGAGCTGGTTACTCCAACAGAGGAAGAGGGTTTGAGAAGTAAAGATCAACCAGCGGAGAAGCCAGATCTACCAAAAGTAGACGTGGTACCATCTCCGACTCCAAGCCCTCCCTCTGAGAAACCTGTGAGTGAAAAAAAGGGCCCGGACTCCAAAAGCACTGAGGAGGAAAACGTAAAGCTCAAGGAGCAGGATTCTGAACCAGAGAAAGGAGCGGAAGCTCAAGAGAGTGAGACCTCCAAACAAGGCGATGCCCAAAGTTCTGTCGAGAAACCGTCGGAGCCTAAAAAGGAGCCTGCGAAAAGCAAGTGCAAATATAAGCTGGTTTCTGAAGAAGACAGTTCTCTCACAGAGAACAGGGAAATCACCTCTGAAAGGCAGAAAGAAGGGATCAAGCTCACAATCAGAATCTCCAGTAGAAAGAGAGGCACTGCTGCTCCAAAGAGTCGGAACTCGGCCGCTGAAAAGGAGGAGGAAGTGGTCAACATTGGGCGTGTTTTAAGGAGGTCTCCTCGGATATCCAAACCTACACAAAAGATAGCGGAGACCCGGGATCCCAAGGCTGAGAAAAAACGAAACGAGGAAGAAGATGAGAAGCCGGCCCCAGTGCAAAAACAAGAGAAGAAAGAGGACCCCAAAAAACAAGAGAAGGGGGTGAATTCCAAGGCAAGCAAGGTAAAAAATTCAGAAGCAGTCTTCTTAGTATGGATAGCTGGTAATATTAGAAACCCAAATATCTGTCGGGAGAGCCCAGTTTCTATCTTCTCATACTTCATTATTCCAGTCTATTTAGGTTAGACCAGTGTTTCTCAGCCTGGGGGTTGGGACCCCTAAGTGGGTCACAAGGGGGTGTCAGAGGGGTCACCAAAGTCCATCAGTTTGGCCCAAATCTATTGTTGGTGGGTTTGAAAATGCTCTTTGATTGTAGGTGCCAAGTTTGGTTCAATTCCATTGCTGGTGGAGTTCAGAATGCTCTTTGATTGTAGTTAACTACAAATCCCAGCAACTGCAACTCCCAAATTACAAAAATCAACCCCCCTCCAACCCCACCAGTGTTCAAATTTGGGCATATTGGATGTTTGTTCCAAATTTGCTCCAGTGGATGAAAATACACCCTGCATATCAGATATTTACATTACAATTCACAACAGTAGTAAAATTATAGAAATGAAGTAGCAACGAAAATAATTTTATGGTTGGGGGTCACCACAACATGAGGAACTCTATTAAGGAGTCACAGCATTAGAAAGGTTGAGAACCACTGGGTTAGACTAATATTTTCTATATATTTTTTCCAGAATTATGAACTTTGTAGCACAAATATGCATAGAAACAGAAATCTGGAATACAACAGATAGGAGCTTATGTCTGAAAAAATAGAGATTTAACATCATATTTATGTTTTGTGTCAGAAGCGAATTGAGAATAGTTATAATGTATAAAAAACCATAAGCAAAGTTTTGAGAACCACAAACAAAGTTAAAAACTTGACATGTTAAATTTCCTTTGACCTGGCCATTTGGAATGCCTCTGGTGTGGCTGTAAGAAGGTTCCCCAGTGTGCATGTGTTAGGGCTTAGACTGCATTGTATTAAGTGGTCTGAGGTTTGCTGTTCTCCACACTCGCACGTTGTGGACTCCACTTCGTAGCCCCATTTCTTAAGATTAGCTCAGCATCTCGTGCTACCAGAGCGTAGTCTGTTCAGCGCTTTCCAGGTCACCCACTCTTCTGTGTGCCCAGGAGGGAGTTTCTCATCCGATCTCAGGTACTGATTGAGGTTTTGAGTTTCAACCTGCCACTTTTGGACTCTCACTTGCTGAGGTGTTCCTGTGAGTATCTTTGTAGATCTTAGAAAGCTATTTCTTGATTTAAGACGTTGGCATGCTGGCTGATGTCCAAACAGAGGATGAGCCAGGGATGTCAATGCCTCGGTTCTTTCATTATTGGCTGCTACTTCCTGGCGGATGTCGTGTGATGCAATACTGGCTAAACAGTATAATTTCTCCAGCAGTGTAGGGTATAGACCTCCTGTGATAATGTGACATGTCTCATTAAGTATATGCGGCATGTCTCAGTAACATTGGCTTTTAAATCAGATTAAAATAAATCAGAGTTTAGAACTTGACCAGCGCTGTAAACTATAGTCAAAGAGGAGAGCTTTCTGTTTTCCTCCTTGCAGCTTCATGCAGAGAGTGGGAGCAATCTCACAGTTTCCTATAACTTATACTAAACTATTGTTTTGGCACATGGATGAAATGTAGTCTTTTGGGTTTTCTAGACAATTTTACTTGAATTACACATGGTTTTCTCTTTAAACAGTCAAATACAGTCAAATCAGAAAATTGTAGTATAGAAGTACTTTATTTGAAATAGACAATCCTATTAATATCTTAATGAGAATTTTCCAAAGTTTTGAGCTAGTGATAGTTGTCCTTGTGATTGGATTTCCAGGCTTCTCAAAAAAATAAAGTTCGGTGGGCCGGTACTCGAACTCGTGGCAGGTGGAGATACTCAAGCAACGATGAGAGTGAAGGCTCAGAAAGTGAAGAAAACTCTGAGGAAGAGGAAAAGGAGGAGGAAGAGGAGGAGGAGGAAGAAGAAGAGGAACCTGCACCTGCTGATGACGATGAGCCGTGCAAGAAGTGTGGACTTCCCAATCACCCTGAGCTGGTAGGTTCTTGTTTTCCACTCTAAGCTGGAAGTGTTTGGGTTTTTCTAGGTACGCCATTGTGATTCTATTGAGTAAGTAGGTACATCTTGACCTAGCATCAAAAGATTGTAATGTTAACACTGTTCAGACTTCCTTAAGTCAGGTATTTGGGACTCAAGACACGAGCCCTAGAAAGGCCTCTGTTTTGGTCTCAAATGCAGACATTGTTCTCAAATGCAGACATTAAAAGATTGGGATTATATTTACATTTAAAGTATGGTAATAACCCGCCATCAAATTTGTATCTTAAATACTCTTATGCATGTGTATTTTAGTTATGTGTGTCCATCAAAAGTCTGGTCCTCTCCTGTCCTGTTTGGATGAGATCTAAAAGTTTCATTTCAGTCTAAACTGAACTGCACCAAAAAAAGGAGATAGAGCTGAGTTTGACGTATCAATATTTCAACAGTGAATCTAGGAGTTTTATAGTATACTAGCCGTCCCCTGCCATGCGTTGCTGTGGCCCACATGGGGGTTCTGTGTGGGAGGTTTGGCCCAATTATATCATTGGTGGGGTTCAGAATGCTCTTTGACTGTAGGTGAACTATAAATCCCAGCAACTACAACTCCCAAATGTCAAGATTCTATTTCCCCCAAACTCCACCAGTGTTCACATTTGGGCATATTGAATATTCTTGTAGAGTTTGGTCCAGATCCATCATTGTTTGAGTCCACAGTCGTCTTTGGATGTAGGTGAACTGCAACTCCAAAAGTCAAGGCCAGTGCCCACCAAACCTTTCCAGTGTTTCCTGTTGGTCATGGGAGAACTGTGTGCCAAGTTTGGTTCAATTCCATCATTGGTGGGGTTCAGAATGCTCTTTGATTGTAGGTGAACTATAAATCCCAGCAACGACAACTCCCAAATGACAAAATCAATTTATTTTGTGTGAAGGACATACATTGGGTTGTTAGGTGTCTTGTGTCCAAATTTGGTGTCAATTCGTCCAGTGGTTTTTGAGTTCTGTTAATCCCACAAACGAACATTATGTTTTTATTTATATAGAAGATAGGGCATGGTTCCCATTCAATTCTGTGGCATGTGTTTACCTGTCTTTCGGTGTGGTCAGTGAAACTTAAAAGTCCTTGAACAGAGGCTGGATGGCCATCTGTCAGGGGTGCTTTGAATGCAATATTCCTGCTTCTTGGCAGGGGGTTGGACTGGATGGCCCATGAGGTCTCTTCATGATTCTATTATTCTATGACGGATGGATGTCTTCTAGTGAAAGCTGGAAATTTTGCCTAAGTCTGCCATTTGTAACCTCATATCAAGAGAACGAGTGCAAACATGGGGACAAGGTCTTCCTTGGTGTGTTTTGGCGGAATGGATTCAAAGGAAAATCTTGATTCGTTTCCACAGATTCTCTTGTGCGACTCTTGTGACAGTGGCTACCATACAGCATGTCTTCGGCCTCCGCTGATGATAATTCCAGATGGAGAATGGTTCTGCCCACCTTGCCAACATGTAAGTTTTACCTTCCTTCACTTTCTTGATGTCTCCCTCACTCCCAAGACTTAAACCATGAGCATTAATGCTATTCAAAAAGAAAAAGGCAGGCCTAAAACACCCTGAAAGTACCATATCCCATCTGTTCCAATGAGGCCTGGTAGTAGCTGGATGGGGTGTTGAAGGCTGTATTTCAGAGGAAGTCAATGATAACTGTATTTTGAGTATTCCTTGCCTGGGAAGACTTTATGAAATGTATAGTGTTGGCATTAAGTGACAGGCTCATATACATGCATACCACATTTTACACAAAGAAAAGCCCCTTTTGTGTCTCCTGTAAACTTGAAAAATAATTCATTTCATTCTTATTTGGTAGTTTTTAAAAGTGAAAAATTTATACGATCTGAAGAGAAACCAGAGTATTTTTTACAGTGTTGTTGCATCATTGTGGTTTTGTTAATAATGAGAATGCATTAAAGCCTCATCCCACCCACAACTGCTAAATATCTCCTTCAGTCATCTCAGAAACAACTTCTAGTGAATATTTTTGGATCAGGCAGGGTTTTTTTTACTTTTCTATTTTCTCACTTTTCTTCTCCATACTTTATATATTTTTTAAGATTTATTAGAGTCTCATTAATCGTAAAAATTAAAACTGCTGATTAGATTCATAGGCTTTGGACCAAATATTCAAATGTTGCCCAAATTCCGTCCCTTCCAAATACAGGAAATTTGTTGAGATACAACAGCCAAAAGCGGACTACCTAATCTTTGCTTAGAAGCCTCTAACACAGGCACAGGCCATGGAAAGTTATACTCTCTCAGCCTCAGAGCAGTCCAACTGTAGCCAAACTCTGCCAAGGATCTCCTTAGATCAGGCATGGGCACACTTGGACCCTCCGGTGTTTTGGATTTTAACTCCCACAACTCCTAACACCCTCAGGCCCTTGCAAGGGGAGTGGGACCAAGAGCAGGGCCTCCCTCAGACGATCTTAACCTCTGAGGTGGGTCATAGAGGGAGTTGTTTGCAATTTATAATGTAGATTTCAAAGTATGTATGCATGTATAAAATGCAGTATGTGCTGAATGTAATGTATTCCTGTGTGGAAAGAGTTAACTGAACCATGGAGGGAACGGCATTCCTAGAGAGGTCATAAATCAAGTGTATAGAACAAATGGATGCAGCGTTGTGCGTTGTATGCCATACATCACTCTGGAATGCAAGAGGTGTGGACTAGTACTGATAACAGTTAGTGTGTTAGCTATGTTACGATCGGGCGGTAAAGAAGCAAGTTTACGACGTGCTGAGTGTTAAGTAGCTTCTAATGTATATAGCTGTAAAATAACGTAGTTTATAGCCTCAAGTGGCTGTGATTGATCTATTCCTGCCTTGCTGTGCTGGAGATGCCACTGACAGGGAGATACGTCCGGACTACCCACGAAAGGCATGACAACAACCCTCCTGATTGCTGCTTCTCCTCCTCCACCACCTGAGTGGAGCTGTTCCATGTGGCTCCTTGGTCTCTTTGTTTTTAGGCCTGTTCCTGGGGCTTTTTGAGGTGCTGATTCAGATAATTGCATTGGATGGACCACATCAGCTCTAGAAATATAGTTTTCTGTGTGCGAGTAGATGATGACTACTGGATGGCATATGTTCTGCATCGGAAAGAGCTGATGTGTCTATCCAATGCAATTTTCTGAATCAGCACTCCAAATAACCAAACCAAATCTAAAGTTGACCAAAACCTGATTCGTAACCCTTTTGGTACTAATGTTGGAGAGTGGTCCCTGGTCAAAAAAGGGTTGGGAGCCACTGATGTAAACACTCCATGACCATCCTTGCAGATTGCGTCCCCTTCTTATGAAAAACAAGGCCATTGATGCCTTCCTTCTGTTTCCTCTCTTCAAACCAGTTACTGATATGTTAAGAGGACAAATCCTCCTGCTAAGTTTCCTTGTGATCCTTTGGGGATGGACTTTGTCAAAGGGTTTTTGAAAAATCTAAGGATGCATTACCCACAGGGATTGCTCTCTTCTGCATGTGTTTTGACAACCTGAACATATTCTGAAAGGTCAGTGAGGTTAGGTTTCCCTTTGTAGGAGTCCTGCTAAGTCTTTCTCAGCAAGGCTTCTTGTTTCTGTTTGTTTAGCCGCCTCCGCTGTTAATATTTTCCATCCGGATCCCTGCATTCCTTCCGCAATCATTTTTAAACTGGTGTTAAGCTAAGCTATATTACTAGTATTGTTATCATTATCATCTTTGTTTATATCCCGCCTTTCTCCACATCGGGACTCAAGGTGGCTAGCATCTATCCACACTATAAGAGCAATACAAAAGTTTAAAAACAATTACATAATAACAGCATGGTTAAAAAAATTAAATACAACACATACATTCAAATAGCCTTGTCAATATCAGTTGACAATGCACATTTTCGTGACCACCTGCTGTTGTTGAATTGCTCAGCTGTGAAGTGAATTATATGTACCTGCTTCTGCCACTACTAAATTTTCATCTGTTGATTCAGTTTTTCAAAGATAGACAGGCAGACTGAATCCGTGGATGCAGAATCCTTGGATAGGGAAGGCTTGACTCTTTTTTTCTGGAAGAAAATATTGTTTGCTCCTTTTTGTAGCATCTTTGTACTGAGCTCTATGTACATCAGATAGTCTAACCTAGCTTTTCTCAACTTTTTCAAATCTTATTAGAGCCCTTGAAATAATTCTCATGTCTCAGGGAGCCCCTTCTTAACATCTACAGCCATTCACAATCTCTTGCAGAACCCCAACAACTTCTCACGGAAGCATGGCATTCTGGGAAAGCCTGTTTGAAAACTCCTAGTCTAACCTAACAGCTCAAGCCAGGAATAATAATAATAATTTATTTATTTATACCCTGCCACCATCACCCCAAGGGGACTCGGGGCGGCTTACATGAGGCCAAGCCCAGCAGTACAACAATGCAAATGTACAACATGAGAATACAACAATAAAATAATAAAATAAAATAAATACAAGAAACATTATAAATAAACTCATCAGGCAGTATAAAATGACAATATTTGAACACAGAGAATTAATAATAGTGGGCAGAGCCTGTTGCAAGGATTAAAAGTTTAAAATACTGGGTGAGAGGGCAATATAATGTATCTGGACAGAGGATCCGAGGGACGAAGTAGGGTTTAATTGCACTAACAGGTAAAATAAAGTTCTTCTGCGGGCATTTATGCAAGGATTGGTCAGGTCAGGGGATTATTGTTCATTCATTCATTCGTTGAAGGCACACTAGAACAGCCAAGATTTCAGGCTCTTCCTGAAGACTACCATGGTGGGGGCTTGCCTAATTTCTCTGGGGAGCAAGTTCCAGAGCCGAGGGACCACCACAGAGAAGGCCCTCAGATCCTTAGTTCCTCTCTGTTTTTGCTTTGGCAGCATTATGTAAGGGCATAAGACATTCCATGTTGGATCAGAAGGCCTTTCTAGTCTAAAATTATGTTCATTTGGTGATGATTCAGTTGCATGTAGAGATCACGCCTGCAAAAGATGAGAATAACAACTCTCTTTACACATAAGGCATCTATTTATCTTTCTCTATTGTACTGAAATAAGTGTGTGTTAACTCTCTATCTGACAGCTTAATTTTACAATTTTTTAAATAAAATGTTTTTATTAATATTTCCAGGGGGAAAAAAGATAAAAAGAAAGGCATTGGTAGGGTGGAAGAGACATGTGGAGTAAGGAGAATGAGAAGGGGGAGGATTTGGCGTTGGTTTTTAGCGGGGTAGTGTAGGGATGAAGTGATTTTGAAGGTCTTCCTTCCTCTTCCTCGCGGGCTTAGTTTGATAAGTGTCCTAGTTACTTTTTATTGTTGATGTCTTGATCAGTTCCAAGGGATGTGATTTTCTTCCTTGTTTCTTGTTCTTATTTATAATAAAACCTTCATATTTTCTTGTCTCTTGTAGCTTGTCAATTGTGACCAATCTGTCTCTCTTCTAGTTTTGTTTATATGCTAGTTAGTTTGTCCATTCTCATGATCTCCACCATTTTTGTCAGCCATTCTTTGCTTGTCAGGATGTCTTCTGTTCTCCAATATCTTGCAAATTCTCGCAGCTGTTGTCAGGTAGCTGAGGAGAATATCTTTATTTTTCTTTCCAACTTTGTGCCTGTAATTCCTAACCAAAGGTATTCTGGATTAAAATTTATTCGTTCTTGCAGAATTTTCTGGATAGCGCCGTGGATTGTTCTCCAGTATTTCTTTGCTTTGGTTCAGTTCCACCACATATGGAGGAAGGTGCCATTTTCAGTTTTACATTTCCAACACTTTGCATCTAAGTTTTTGTTGCATTTTGCCATTTTTTTCCGGAGTGATGTACCATTAGTATTGCATTTTGTACCAGTTTTCTAATTTTGTAGGTTTTTTTAAAGGAGAACCTTATTGATCAAAAATTGTGTTTTGTTTCATAGCATGTAGGCTGTGGGCCAGTGTAATAATAATAATAATAATAAAAATAAAGTTAAGCATTAATCATGGCTCAAGCAAACCTTGGTTTCTTGTAAACCAGGAGTATATATATTCTAATTTCTAACTCTGATTAAGTATTTCTATCTGTATTGTCTTGAATGCAGTTTTTTTTTCATTGAAGAGCAACACCACATTTAGGAATAGAAGCAGGGGCACTTCACAATGAAGCTTCTCTCTCATCTAATATGAGCCTTCAAGAGTTGTTGCATTTCTTTGTTCTTGCCACTGAAGTCCTTCCTCTTTATACTGCTTAGTACCAGGATTACTGTCACATTTTTACTGGCTGTATCGTACTGATGAATGTTTGGATGAGGGCCTTGTTAAGATTTGGTGGATGGAAAGTATTATTATTCATGTCATGGTTTGATTTTTCCCCACAGAAATTACTTTGTGAGAAGATGGAGGAACAGCTGCAGGATTTGGATGTTGTCTTGAAAAAGAAGGAACGTGCAGAACGAAGGTATTGAAACATTATTCATAAGCTAAACACCCTTTGTAATTTATTTGCAGGGGGCTCGGAGCGGCTTACAAGATATATATACATACAATATATTATATTATTAGCATAGTACAATATCAGTATTAAATATTACTATATTGTACTATACCATTATATTGTAATATTATTAGTAATATTACATGTAATATAAATATATAATTATAATATATTATTATTAGTAGAATTATATTGCATTACATTATAATATTATAAATATTATATGTATATATTATATTATATTACACTATATTATATTACATTATATTATATTACATTACATTACATTACATTATTAGCATCGCACAGGAGACAAGGTAATTTCAGGGGAAAAGACTACCGTAATGTGAGCAGTGTGGCTATCTCATTTTCTGCATCCATATCAGTGTTCTAGAATCTTCTGCGGCCATCACTGTTTTAAACTATTGGTTGAGAGAAAGGTGCATTGAAGCAGGTCACTGAGCTGTGAGAGCATAGAAACTAGAGCTTGGTGGATAGGAATGTATACAGGTGATAGAAAAATAGAATGGATACTCTTCTATTGAGATTTATAGCTTAGTAGCTTGGGTACCCAGCATTGCCTGGGTTATTAGAAGAAGTAATTTTTTATTTTACAAAATGATACGGTTGTGGATGAACTACAACTCACATCATGCCAGGTTAACCCAATGAAACTCTATCAATATTTAAAGTTTGTCATGTTGGGCACATGTGCTGTAGATGCATCATCGGTGTGGTTCACTATGCTCTCCAGCTGCAGGATGGATTACAACTCCCACCATGGTGGGTCAGTCCCATCACATCCCTCCAGTACATTCAGTTGGTCATGGGGGTTCTGTGTACCAAGTGAGGTCCAGGTCCATCACTGGTGGAGTTCTTAGTGTTATTTGATTGCAGGTGAACTCCAAATCCCAGTACCTACAACTAACAGATGTCAAGGCTAATTCCACCCCAAATCCACCAGTATTCAAATTTTGGCATATTGGGCATGCGTGCCAAATGTGGTGCAGATCCATTGTTGTTTGTGTTGACAGTGCTGTCTGGATGTAGGTGAACTATAATCCCTATAAATCAATGTGATTTTCCCCCAAAACCCTCCTTCATTTTTTGTTGGTCATGGGGGTTCTGTGTGCTAAGTTAAGTCCAGGGCCATCCTTGATGGGGCCCAGAGTGCTCTTTGATTGCAGGCGAACTATAAATCCTAGTACCTACAATGGCTATAAATCAAGGTGAATTCCCACAAACCTCTCCAGTATTTTTCTTTCGCCATGGGGGTTCTATGTGCCAAGTGTGGTCCAGGTCCATTGTCAGTGGGGATCACAGTGCTCTGACTTGATGAAGGGTGAACTACAACTTCCTTCATGTGGAGTCAATTCCTCAAACTCCTCCAGTATATTTAATTGCTTCTCAGTTCTGCTCTGCTTGTTATGCAGACAGAGTTTAAAAGAGTAGGAAAGGGTTAAGGGAGATACAGTGGGTGAGATTATGCAAATTCCACACTAATGGAGAGAGTAAGAAACACTGGGGTGTATGTGGTGGAGGAAACACATAAAATCTAGGATGAGATTGTCCCCATATGAGAGCCTTCACTTGGGTGGTGTGCAATGTGGTGTTTGTGGAGGACATTGGCAGGGCTCTTGGACATGTTCATGGCACTCATAACCTATAATATCACTGGAAGGGAGGCCTATTGGTGTATCCTAAGTAATGGGAGCTGTACCTGTTTGTGGAGGCAGAAGCCTGTCTGTGAAAGTGGTCAGCCCAACCACATACACACATACATATTTTCACTTTTATTATGTGTAGAGATGGGTGTATGAAGAGACCTTTCTGTCCTAGGCATTCCTCTCTTAAGTATATATATAATGTTCTGTTTGCATTCTTCTTACTTTGTACATCACTTAAGATTGGTAAAGAGTTGCTCAGAGGCTGATACAATCTAATACATGTGATATAGTACCATATGATCTCTACTTCTTTGGAAGTGTTTGGAAAGAGTGTGATTCCATTCAGGAGTGCTTTAGCAGTGGATTTCTGCACAAGGACTACATCACCCTTAAAATCTCTTTCAGTTATAAGTGTAGCTTAGAGCTCATTGTGATGTAAGGAATGGTGAGAGTTGAAATCTAAAACACCTGGAGGGCCAAAGTTTGCCCGTGCCTGGTTTAGAAGAGCTGTAGCATCCTGAGTGGGTGTTTCAGATGTCTTCTTTTCACCGAAAGCCTAAAAGTATTTTCACTTTTGTGTTTGTCTCAAAGGAAGGAACGGCTCGTGTACGTGGGGATCAGTCTTGAGAATATCATTCCTCCACGAGTAAGTGACATGGATCTGTCATAATCAATTTGATTTTAAGTTTGGTTATCCAGCCAGGACTGTTTGTACTTTGTGATGAAAATAATCAAAATATTGCCCCAGTGGATGCACTGGTAAAAATTTCAGTTCCGTTTACAATTCAGAAATTGACTGAATTTGTTTCCATTTGCTCAGTTCTACTTTTGCTTCAGATGTCATCCTTGTTTCCTGACCTCTCACCCCACCCAGAAAACCAATGGACTCTCTATGTCTCTTTGTGTACCAATCCTGGCACAAAGGGTATAGATAAATATAATTAATAATTTTCCCTCCAACCTTCCTACCGCCTACTATCTCTTGACATCCAGATTTGGAAATGGGCCGTGTGTTGTTTGGGAGTTGTGGTTTGAGCGTTGAACCCTAGCCTCACAGAGTCTGAGGCTAGGATTCGCATCCTGGCCTGGAAGCCCACCGGCTGACCTTGTGATAGTCTCGGTTTGAGAAGAAATTGGTAGGAAACCTCAGAATAACATTTGTCTTGCTGTGCTTCACCTCTCCTTAAACAGGAGCCCGATATACCTGAAACCATGGAGGAAAAGAAGAAAGATCCCAAAAAGTCAAAGGCAAAGCTGCTAGAAAGGAGGTCAACGAGGCAACGGAAATGCATCAGTTATCGGTAAGCGAGTTATTTTGTGAGACCTTGAGTGTTTGATGGGTGAAGGAGCAGTTGGCTCACATAAAAGATGCACTTCCTTTCTTGTGCACTTGATCGTCATGTGGTTTGACCCTGAACCTCCTCATCTTTAAAAATAAATGTTTACGTTTATTCACACATTGATCCACACAGTACAATGATATCAGCAGTGGGAAACGTTTTGTCCAGACCTTGAAATCACAGATAGAACCAAATGCAATTAAATTATACAATCATTGAATTGCAGTGGAGGACCAGGAGATTCCTAGAGAGATATCCTTAACATTACTTACTTAGGAGATCCCTCGTTGTTCGAGTAGGATTGTGTACTGGCGGTGTACTGGCGGTGGGTCCGTAGGTGACTGTGGAGCCCTATTCTTGACCTGCATGTTCTCCCGTAGTGAGGGCATCGGTTTCCAGGTGGAAGGTGGTCCCGGTCGGGGTTGGCTTGATGCGCCTTCCTCTTGGCACGTTTCTCTCTTTTGCCCTCCATTCGTGCCTCAAATTCTACAGCACTGCTAGTCACAGCTGACCTCCAGCTGGAGCACTCAAGGGCCTGGGCTTACCAGTTCTCATTGTCTATGCCAGGGGTTTTTGAGGTTGGCTTTGAGCCCATCTTTACATCTCTTTTCCTGCCCACCAACATTGCGTTTTCCGTTCTTGTGTTCGGAGTAGAGCAACTGCTTTGGGAAACGATGCTTGGATATTTAGACAGCGTTGCCAGCCCAGTGGAGTTAATGGCGGAGGGCCATCACTTCAGGTCTTTGCTTCTTCCAGCACGCTAACATTTGTCTGCTTGTCTTCCCAAGAGATTTGCAGGATTTTTCGGCAGCAACGTTGATGGAATCGTTCTTGTAGTTGCATGTAATGCCTGTGTAGATAGTCCACGTCTCGCAGGCGTATAGCAGGGTTGGGAGGACAATAGCTTAATAAGCAAGCACCTTGGTATCCCTACGGATGTCCCGGTCCTCAAACATTCTCTGCTTCATTCAGAAAAATGCTGCACTCGCAGAGCTCAGGCGGTGTTGTATTCCAGTGTCAACATATGCATATATTGATGTTTTCTTACACTTTTCTTAACATATGCATATATTAATGTTTTCTTACACCTTTTTCACACCTCTGTCTGTTATCTATGTGAATGTAAGGCTGAGTTGTTGATTGCATGGCGGTTATTATCTCCAGAACACTGTATTGAGCCTGAAGGCCCTCCTTGTGTGGGAAAACGTGTCTTTGACTCCTGTGAAGTAAAGCTTTTATGAACAAATAGCCATATACCTTGACAGATGAGGAAAAACTGCATATGCAGCAGAAGCTCCCTTTCACCCTAGAAACACCCAGCCATCTTCCAAGGGGATTAAAGCATTCTGCAGCTATAACACTTTGAAAAGGTCATCGCTTGTTAGTAAAAATCACACTTGAAATGTATTATGTTTGGCAACAGGCCTGTGAAAGGCATCATCTTTGTTGCTTTTGCCTTTGTGTGACCTCTCCGATTCATTTCAGCCGCTTCTAGGCGAAGCTCAAGCTCCAAAACCTTCATGACAGTTGACCTCTTTTCCCCTCAGCTGTGAATAAAACAACTTTAAAGCCACATTTAAATCCCTCCTCCCTCGTTTTGCAGTGCTGCTGAAATACTCAAATATCGAGAACATGAAAGGGCAAGAGGGAGAAGGTGATATATAGTGTCATCAAGAATCAATATCATCCTTTTGAGATATTTTAAGATAAAGGCACATTTTGAGAAGTGGCTTTCAAAGAGGAGAAGAAAAAAGTAGCTCACAGCGGATTTCTTTTTGTAATGCTTAAATCTATAAAGAAGTTCAGAACACATATTGTTGCTGTATCCTATTATAAACTGTTTCAGAATTATTTGGGCAATGATTGTCATTTTTGGAAGGAATTCTGTAGAACCCACAACACAGCACTTCTACGAAACATTTCACTCTTTTAAAAACAAAACAGTTGCTGGGTTGCTGTGAGTTTTCCGGGCTCTTTGACCATGTTCCAGAAGCATTCTCTCCTGACGTTTTGCCCACATCTATGGCAGGCATCCTCAGAGATTGTGAGGTATATTGGAAACTAGGACAAGTACTTACTTTACTTAATTAGGCGATCCCTTGTATTCCGAGGATGATTTTATTTCTTGTGTGTGCAACCAGTCGATTATATTACATTTCTAACAGAACAAAGCAAAAAAAAAAAACCCAGACAAAATACGAAAATTGTGAGTTTGGTAGCTGATTAAATGTCCTTTGACCAGTATCTGGCCACTTGGAGTGCTTCTGGTGTTGCTGCAAGAAGGTCCTCCATTGTGCATGTGGCAGGGCTCAGGGTGCATTGCAGCAGGTGGTCAGTGGTTTGCTCCTCTCCACACTCGCATGTCGAGGATTCCACTTTGTAGCCCATTTCTGAAGGTTGGCTCTGCATCTCGTGGTGCCAGAGCGCAGTCTGTTCAGCGCCTTCCAAGTCGCCCAGTCTTCTGTGTGCCCAGGGGGGAGTCTCTCATTTGGTATCAGCCATTGGTTGAGGTTCTGGGTTTGAGCCTGCCATTTTTGGACTCTTGCTTGCTGAGGTGTTCCAGCGAGTGTCTCTGTAGATCTTAGAAAACTATTTCTAGATTTAAGTCGTTGACGTGCTGGCTGATACCCAAACAGGGGATGAGCTGGAGATGTCTCTGCCTTGGTCCTTTCACTATTGGCTGCTACTTCCCGGCAGATGTCAGGTGGTGCAATACCGGCTAAACAGTGTAATTTCTCCAGTGGTGTAGGGCACAGACACCCCGTGATAATGCGGCATGTCTCATTAAGAACCACATCTACTGTTTTAGTGCAGTGAGATGTGTTCCACACTGTGTATGCCTACTCAGCAGCAGAGTAGCATAGTGCAAGGGCAGATGTCTTCACTGTGTCTGATTGTGATCCCCAGGTTGTGCCAGCCAGCTTTCGTATGATATTGTTTCTAGTGCCCACTTTTTGTTTGATCCGTAGGTGACTGTGGAGCCCTATTCTTGACCTGCATCTTCTCCCGCAGTGAGGGCATCAGTTTCCAGGTGGAAGGCGGTCCTGGTCGGGGTTGGCTTGACGCGCCTTCCCCTTGGCACGTTTCTCTCTTTCGCCCTCCATTCGTGCCTCCTCAAACTCCACAGCACTGCTGGTCACAGCTGACCGCCAACTGGAGCGCTCAAGGGCCAGGGCTTCCCAGTTCTCAGTGTCAATGCCAGGGTTTTTAAGGTTGGCTTTGAGCCCATCTTTAAATCTCTTTTCCTGTCCTCAACATTTATATGAGTGGAATATCCCGGTTGGGAGAAAGAACTCTTGTCTGAGGCAGGTGTGAATGTTGCATTTGGCCACCCTGATTAACAGTGAATAACCTTCAAAGCCTGGCTACTTTCTGCCTGGGGTAATCCTTTGTTGGGAGGTGTTAGCAAGCTCTGATTGCATCCTGTCTGGAATTCCCCTATTTTTGAGTGTTGCTCTTTATTTACTGTCCTGATTTTAGAGTGTTTTTTAAATAGTGGTAGCAGATTTTGTTCATTTTCATGGTTTACTCCTTTCTATTGAAATTGTCCACATGCTTGTGGATTTCAATGGCGTCTCTGTATAGCCTGACGTGGTTGTTGTTAGAGTACTCCAGCATTTTTGTGTTCTCAAATATTTTGTGTCCAGGTTGGTTCATCAGGTGCTCTGCTATGGCTGACTTCTCTGGTTTAGTTAGTCTGCGGTGTCTTTTATTTGATTCATGTTTGGGCGCTATGTTTGGCATTGAAATCCACAAGCATGTGGACAATTTCAGCAGAAAGGAGGAAACCGTGAAAATGAACAAGATATTGCTACTAATATTTTAAAAAACCTCTAAAATCAGGACAGTAAATAAAAAACACTCTGAAAACAAGGGTAATTCTGGACAGGAAACCATCAGGGCCAGCCAACATCCCCTAACAAAGGATTCCCCCAGACAGGAATCAGCCGGGCTTTGAAGCTGCAAGGCTTTGCAATGCTAATAAAGGTGGTTAATTGCAACATTCACACTTCCCTCCAGCAGACAAGAGTTCTTTCTCCCATCCTGGACCTTCAACAGATATATAAAACTCCCTTGTCTAGTTTCCAACATATCTCTCAACCTCTGAGGATGCCTGCCATAGATGTGGACAAAACATCAGGAGAGAATTCTTCTGGAACATGGCCATACAGCCCAGAAAACTCACAGCAACCCAGTGATTCCTGCCATGGAAGTCTTCAACAACACATAAAACAATTGCTATCATATGAAACGAAGGAAGAACAAGAAGATTGACAGGGAACTTGTTCATATCTTCATTTGGACAGTTGTTCTAAGAGATTGACATGCAAGTTGATTTTCTTGATTTCCCTCCTTCCCTACCATCAATTAATAAATAGAGCGTGAAATACATTTTATTCTATGTAACTTCTGCTCAGATATTTTGCCTTCTTAAAACTGGTGGAAAGCCATTTGCATTTCCCATGTTTGGAGAAAAACAGTTAATGTTTGGAAGCCTAGCTGTGTTTTGATTGTTCAGTGGCTATGTGTTAATTAGTTTATCCCTTGGAATGTCTTTGAGTTGTGAATTGAAACTGATAATTTTCCCCCTTCTAGATTTGATGAGTTTGATGAAGCCATTGATGAAGCAATTGAGGATGACATCAAGGAAGCTGATGGAGGAGGTGTGTCTTGCTGACCATGGCTAGGGAAACATTTGGGTGATGGTAATCTAGAGTGATATATTTAATACTGAGGAGCAATTTTACACATGTAAATACATGTAACTGGATTTGGCTCCCTGCTTTGGGGTTCCTCATTTAACAGGTTGTGAAATTACAGTGAACCCTCTACATTTGCAGGAGATAAAGTCAAAGGACCTCCACAAAAGTGGAAAAATGCAAACTAAATAACTCTTTTTTTTAAAAAAAAAACGAGACTACCTCTGTAAGTCCTCCAGTTTGTGGTTGTAGACTATAGAGAACCTAGGGCGGTGGTTCTCAACCTGTGGGTTCCCAGGAGTTTTGGCCTACAACTCCCAGAAGTACCAGCTATTTTACCAGCTGTTAGGATTTCTGGGAGTTGAAAGCAAAAACATCTGGACACCCACAGGTTGAGAACCATTGACCTAGAGATTCCTGAAGAGTACATATTAATTAATTCCGCAGGAGCCCTTGGTGGCACAGTGGGTTAAACCCCTGAGCCAGCAGGACTGAAGACCGACAGGTCTCAGGTTCGAATCCGGGGAGAGGCGAATGAGCTCCCTCTATCAGCTCCAGCTCCTCATATGGGGACATGAGAGAAGCCTCCCACAAGGATGATAAAAACATCAAATCATACGGGCGTCCCCTGGGCAACGTCCTTGCAGACGGCCAATTCTCTCATACCAGAAGTCACTTGCAGTTTCTCAAGTCGCTCCTGACATGACCAAAATTAATTCTGCAAAATGAAACCCACAAAGGTTGAGTTCAGATATCCCTCAGCCATGGTGCTTTGTGTCACTTAGTGCCACTCTACCTAATTGTGTTGCTCATGATAATGGGTCATTCCTGCTTCCCTGAAAATAAATAAATCAAAGGCTTGGGTTTAATTGTTCTATTCTGGGCTGCTCAACTCCCAGATTTTCAGGATCTAGGAAGAGATGTGGCTCACTTTCTTATTTGTTATAGGAGCCACAAAATAAAATACTTGGGTAGAATCATAGAGTTGGAAGAGACCTCATGGGCCATCCAGTCCAACTCCATTCTGCCAAAAAGCAGGAAAATTGCATTCAAAGCAACCCTGACAGATGGCCATCCAGCCTCTGTTGAAAAGCTTCCAAAGAAGGAGCCTCCACCACACTTCGGGGCAGAGAGTTCCACTGCTGAACGGCTCTCACAGTCAGGAAATTCTTCCTAATGTTCAGATGGAATCTCCTTTCTTGCAATTTGAAGCCATTGTTCCATTGTGTCCTAGTCTCCAGGGCAGCAGAAAACAAGCTTGCTCCCTCTTCCCTTTTTTATACAGGAAAGTTGTAATAAACAGGAGGAGAGGGAGGTTTAGATGGCCAAGCAGAACTAATGAGTCGTTGCTTTTCTCTTTATCCACTTGAATATAGGTGGGGGAAAAGGGAAAGACATGTCCAACATCACAGGCCATCGCGGGAAGGATATCTCCACCATCCTGGAGGAAGAAAGGAAGGAAAACAAGCGGCCTCCAAGGGCTGCAGCAATTCGTCGTAAGAAACGGCGACGGCTGAATGACCTGGACAGCGACAGCAACCTGGATGAAGAAGAAAGTGAAGATGAGTTCAGAATCAGTGACGGGTAAGTAATTGTAGAGTCTAGGGCAGGGGTCCTCACACTTTTTAAGCAGAGGGCCAGGTCACAGTCCCTCAAACTGTTGGAGGGCCGGATTATAATTTGAAAAAAACATGAATTAATTCCTATGCACACTGAATATATCTTATTTGTAGTGGAAAAACACTTTAAAATAATACAATTAAAATGAAGAACAATTTGAACAAATATAAACTTATTAGTATTTCAATGGGAAGTGTTGGCCTGCTTTTGGCTGATGAGATAGGGTTGTTGTTGTTCAAGTAGTTTCCGACTTAGGTTGACCCTGAGCGAGAGCCGGGTAAATGACCTTGGAGGACCATATCCGGCCCCCGGGCCTTAGTTTGAGGACCCTTGGTCTAGGGTCTCCAAAATAAAGCATATGTTAGTTAATAAAGCCTCCTCCTCTGCCCTCCAGCCCATCTTATTTTTCTCCTTGTCCCACGTCTTGCTGGAAATATATTGAAACAGCACTTGAATTAGTGTGATGAAGGACTGGAGATAAGCAGCCTTGCTGTTGCTTGGTTTTAGTGAACAATGCAGTAAAGTTTGAACTGAGAAATAATGGGATATTTCTGTGCCAGTCCTGTCAATTGTCTGTAAAGTAACAGCCGCTCCATCGAGAATCTCATACCACCAAAGGCTGACTTCTCCCAATCTGTTCAAATGTATCCTCACATCACTTTAAAAAAAATCTGATTTGAAATGTTGGAAATGTGGGGAGATAGAAGGTACCTATTTTCACATGTGGTGGACATGCAGTAAGGCAAAACAATATTGGAAAAGAATTCAGAAAAATATACAAGAAATTTTAGAAATAGAAATCCCAAAATGACCAGAAACCTTTCTCCTAGGAATACACAAATTGAAATTAGACTGAAATAAAGACAAATTACTATTCCTCTTGACGACTGCGGCAAGAATCTCGTACGCAAAACAATGGAAAAGAGGAAGAAGATTGGATGACAAAAATACAAGATATAAGGAACGTGGGCAAGCTTACATTCCTACTATCCAAGAATAAGGGCACACCCGGAGACGAGACCGATTGGAACCAAGTCACAGCATTCTTGACAAGACATAACATGAATGAACCCTTTTGGAAAAGATAAAGCCATATGAGAAAAGAAGACCAGGAGAAAAGAAGAAAGAAATGTAAAGACAAAGAAGGAAAAGGGAGGAAACATCTTTGAAGATACAAGGAAGTCAAGAGCTTCTGTATACCTATAACCTTTCAATTTTCTTCTTTTAATGCTATATCTTTCTCCTTACTCTCTCTCTTATCTCTTTCATTTTCTTTTTTCTCTTTCTTTCCTGCCCTCCCCCCCCCCCCCCCCCCAAATATCCCTCACACTATACTCTTGCCATTTCCTTTTTCTCACAATTTTCTACATCCATTCTCTATACCCCACTCATTGGACTTTTTTTTTTGTAATAAAATTGTAACTCAATAAAGATTATTTTTTAAAAATCTAATTTTCTGCAGTGAGATAGCCTGGAAGTCTCAGACTCCTGTTAGCATGAGATTGAAAGTAATTTTAAAAACACAATTTAAATCCTGTGTTTGTTTGCTCCACTTCTGAGACCTTTTGAAGACAGATTCAAATGGTTTGCTAACGGAGGGGACAAATGTCATGTGATAGGACCCCGTTGGGAATTACACGTCAAGGGGCTCAGGAATAGAGTATATCCCAAATGTGATAAGGTCCTTAGCCTGTCCCACCAGCTCTACAGGGTTATTTCTTTATTTGTTTGTTTATTTAAAACTTTTATATCCCGATCTTCTCTACCTCCGTAGAGGGACTCAGACCGGCTAACAACAGAAATTCAATGCACAAATACAACTAAAAACATCATAAAATCATAATAAGTTAAAATAAAAACAGAATAAATACATATAAGCCAAATCGCCAAGATAGAATCAAGTTCAGCTCAGTCCGCCAATGTGGTCAGTCGTTATTAGGTTATTGCTGGACTCAACCAATTATTCTGGGAATGCTATGTCCCAGAGCCAGGATTTCACTAGCTTTCTGAAGGTCAGGAGGGAAGGGGCAGATCTGATCTCCATCAGGAGAGAGTTCCACAGCCGGGGGGCCATCACCGAGAAGGCCCTGTCTCTCGTCCCCACCAGACGCGATTGCAAATGTGGTGGGATCGAGAGCCGGGCCCCTCCAGAAGATCATAACAACCTTGATGGTTCATAGTGGAGAATCCGTTCGGACAGGTAAACTGGCCCGGAACCGTTTAGGGTATTGTAGGTTAATACCAGCACTTTGAATTGTGCTCAAAAGCTAATTGGCAGCCAGTGGAGCTGACGCAACAGAGGAATTGGGCACTCCCTGTACCCCGCTCCTGTCCATAATCTGGCTGCCACGTGTTAGACTAGTTGCAGCTTCAGGGCAGTCCTCAGAGGCAATCCCACGTAGAGAACGTTGCAGTAGTCTATACGGGATGTAAATAAATATTTAAGATCTTTTGCTGTGTTTTTAGCTATGAAACAGGTTCAAGCTTCTTAAATTTCATTTACAGTACTTTTTTTGGACTTCTGGTGTCAAGTCAGACTTCCCAAGGTACGGGTGCAGCTGGCGCACAAGTTTTAATTGTGCAAAAGCTCCCCTGGCCACCGCCGAGACCTGGGGTTCCAGGATCAGCAATGAGTCCAGGATCATTCCCAAGCTGCGAACCTGCGCCTTTAGGGGGATTGTAACCCCGTCAAGCACAGGCTGTAACCCTATGCCCTGTTCGGCCATTCGACTGACCAGGAGTACCTCTGTCTTGTCTGGATTTAGTTTCAATTTGTTCGCCCTCATCCAGTCCGTTACAGCGGCCAAGCACCGGTTCAGGACTTGAACAGCCTCCTTAGTAGCAGGTGGGAAGGAGTGACAGAGTTGGACATCATCTGCATACAGATGACACGGCACCCTGAAACTTCGGATGCTCTCTCCCAACGACTTCATGTATATGTAGAATAACATAGGGGACAGTACTGAGCCCTGCGGGACCCCTCACTACAATGGCCGTGGGGCCGAGCAGGAGTCCCCTAACAACACCTTCTGGGAATGACTCAAGGAAGGACTCGGCCACTGGAGCCACTGCAAGGCAGTACCTCCAAGGCTCATTCCCGCGAGGCGTCCCAGAAGGATACAGTGGTCGACGGTATCGAAGGCTGATGAGAGGTCTAGCAGAACCAAAAAGGACACACTCCCCCTGTCCAGTTCCCGGCGAAGATCATCAACTAAGGCAACCAAGGCTGTCTTGGTACCATGTCGAGGCCTAAAGCCAGACCGCCAATTTGGCCACCAAAATGGAGACTATGACACAGGCTCAAGCAGGTGAAAAAAGTATGCTTTATTCTTTGACTTTTCAAATTGTAAATCTTAGCCAGGCTAGGTTGAATATTTATTTTCAATATAAGCCAGGCATTGGCAAACTTCAGCCCTTCAGGTGTTTTGGACTTCAACTTGCACAATTATTAACAGCCTGGTATAAGTTTGCCCATGCCTGGTACATGTTCTCTAATTTTCAATATTTTTCCCTTTGATCTTTATCCCCCCTAGATCTCAGGATGAGTTTGTTGTGTCAGATGAGAACGTAGACGAAAGCGAAGAGGATCAGCAATCACACGACGACAGCGATCGAGAATTCTCCCGGCGTCGACCCAGGAGGCACCATTCGAGGCCAATGAGGCAGAGCAGGAGGCTGCGGAGAAAAACAGTCAAGAAAAGATACTCAGAAGACGACGAAGAGGAGGACTCTGAGGATAACGTAAGCGGCAACTCTGGTAAGTTGGACAGCTTCCCTTTGGCAAGTGGACTCAAAGTGTTCAGTACTAGGCCCCAAGTTAGCCATCTACTTTGGGTGGAAGATCTAGAGCAGTGTTTCTCAACCTGGGGGTCGGGACCCCTCGGGGGGTCATGAGAAGGTGGCAGAGGGGTCACCAAAGACCATCAGAAAACAGTATTCTCCGTTGGTCATGGAGGTCTTTGTGTGGGAAATGAGGTGCAATTCTATCGTTGGTGGGGTTCAGAATGCTCTTTAATTGTAGGTGAACTATAACTCCCAGCAACCACAACTCCCAAATGTCAAGGTGTGTTTTCCCCAAACTCCACCAGTATTCACATTTGGGCATATTGAGTATCCGTGCCAAGTTTGGTCAAGATCCATCATTTATTGAGTTCACAGTGCTCTCTGGATCTAGGTGAACTACAACTCCCAAACTCTAGATCAATGTCCACCAAACCCTTCCAGTATTTTCTGTTGGTCATGGGAGTTCTGTGTGCCAAGTTTGGTTCAATTCCATCGTTGGTGGAGATTCAGAATGCTCTTAGATTGTAGGTGAACTATAAATCCCAGTAACTACAACTCCCAAATGACAAAATCACCCCCCCCCCCCAACCCCACCAGTATTCAGATTTGAGCTTATCGGATATTTGTGCCCAATTTGGTCCAGTGAATGAAAATACATTCTGCTTATCATATATTTACATTACGATTCATAACAGTAGCAAAACTACAATTATGAAGTAGCAATGAAAATAATGGTATGGTTGGGGGTCACCACAACATGAGGAACTGGATTAAGGGGTCGTGGCATTAGGAAGGTTGAAAAACACTGGTCTAGAGATTCCTAGAGAGGAAGATTATAATAATTGGTAAATAATCAGATTCTCAATAGTTAAGTCCACAAATGTGGAGGGTTGACTGAAATACCCTATCAGTAAGAAAACGTTGTCATTGACCTACCCTTGCGACTTTGAACCCATTATAATATTTATCCATGACGCATATTAGTTGATTGTAAATCCTATCAGAAGATGAAGGATTTCTATCTTTGTCCATATATCAAACGGACACTATATTGGAAATCTCATATCAGAACAACATATTTTATGTGTGACCAAGACCAAAAATAACATAGAAAACAGCTCTGTATTTATCATTTCATGTCGTGCATTTGGACCGGCCACTGTGTTTTATTTTCCATTATGTTATTTTGTACTGTTTATTTTACTTGATTGGTTTATTTATTTTATTGTGATGTTATTTTGTTGTTTATATTTTATGTTGCTGTAATGTATCGCTGGGCTTGGCCTCATGTAAGCCTCTCCGAGTCCCCTTTGGGGAGATGGTGGTGGGGTATAAATAAAGATTATAATAATAATAATTATTATTATTATTATCATTATCATTATTATCTGAAACATAACAAGATGAGTCCACAGCAGACACTGCTGGCTGTTGAATTGGATCACATGTCAGACACTTCCCAAGTGTCTAGGACTGTGTGATGTATCAGCGAATAATGCGTGCAGATCCCAGTAATGTGGCCTTCTGTAGATTATTATTATTATTATTATTATTATTATTATTATTATTATTATTATTATCATCTGTTTTTAAGCAAAACAATACGTTTGAAAACCACCTATGTAGGGCTGATTGGGGTAAATTGTAGGGATGATAAGGAAATATGATGTATACACTCAGTTTTATCATATTTGTTTACTGGTTTACTGTATTGTTATAAGTGTCTTATTTTAACTTACTACGTAAGAGTGCAGTCAAATCTTACCAAGCCTTGTTGTTTGTTATGGTATTTCGATATGGCCTAAGGCTGTGTTTCTCAACCTTCCTAGTACCGTGACCCCATAATATAATTTCTCATGTTGTGGTGACCCCCAACCATAAAATTATTTTTGTTGCTACTTCATAACTGTCATTTTGCTACTGTTATGAATCGTAATGTAAATATCTGAGATGCAGGATGTATTTTCATTCACTGGACCAAATTTGGCACAAATACCCAATACACCCAAATCTGAATACTGGTGTGGTTGGGGGATTGATTTTATCATTTGGGAGTTGTAGTTGCTGGCATTTATAATTCATCTACAATCAGAGAGTATTCTGAACTCCACCAATGATGGAATTGAAGCAAACTTGACACACAGAGGGTTTGGTGGGCATTGACCTTGAGTTTTGGAGTTGTAGTTCACCTACATCCAGAGAGCACTGTGGTCATAAACAATGATGGATCTGGACCAAATTTGGCACAGATACTCAATATGCCCAAGTGTGAACACTGGTGGAGTTTGGGGAAAATAGATCTTGACATTTGGGGGTTGTGGTTGCTGGGATTTATAGTTCACCTACAATCAAAGAGCATTCTGAACCCCACCAAAGATAGAATTGGGACAAACTTCCTACACAGAACCCTCATGACAAATAGAAAATACCTCCAGGGGTTCCGACCCCCAAGTTGAGAAACGCTGGCCTAAGGGCTAAACAATAAAATTATTTTTAGTATTATTTATCCATGAAGAACGATCTGAGAATTAACATTTCTTGGCAACATGATGTTAGAAGGCTTTGTTGACGTTCATTTTGATATGAGAAGAAACTACTAAATTACCAGAGCTGGCCATTTCTACTTCTGGGCAAATTTTCTGTCATTTTGAGGAGGATGAGTATTCAACTTGTTGTTAATACATGTGGCAAATTCCTCCCACTTCACAGTTTGAACTTCATACAATTGCTTCTTTTCCTTCTTCGCTGTGCAGAAACCGAAATGTCTTCAGATTACAGTGATGACTTTTTAGAAACCCGGAGGAGATCTCGGCGGAATCAGAAGAGACAAGTCAACTATAAGGAAGACTCTGAAAGCGAGGGTTCTCAGAAAAGCTTCCGATATGGGAAAGAACTGAGAAGAATCCACAAACGCAGGCTATCTAGTTCAGACAGTGAAGGTAAAAATGAAAATATTGAAAAAGTAAATGTAAAGCTTTCCCCTTGACATTAAGTCTGGTTGTGTCCGACTCTGGGGGGTATGGTGCTCAACTCCCATTTCTAAAGCGAAGAGTTGGCATTGTCCATAGACGCCTCCAAGGTCATGTGGCTGGCATGATTGCATGGAGCACTGTTAATTTCCCACCAGAGCGGTGCCTATTGATCTATTCACATTTGCATGGAGCTGGGCCTAACAGCAGGAGCTCACCCTGCTCCCTTGATTCGAACTGCCGACCTTGTTGAGCAAGTAGGCTTATTTATGAAAGACCCTCCTCATAAATGTATAGCAGAGTAACTTATCAGCAGCGGTGTGACCGACCAGCAGTAGCCCAAAGTGAGAAAAAGAACAAAAACACAGACCAATGTATTGTTGAAGGCTTTCATGGCCAGAATCACTGGGTTGTTGTAGTTTTTTCCGGGCTATATGGCCATGTTCTAGAGGCATTTTCTCCTGACGTTTCGCCTGCATCTATGGCAAGCATCCTCAGAGGTAGTGAGGTCCACATGCTTGGGAAGCCATTGAAATCCACAAGCATGTGGACAATTTCAACAGAAAGGAAGAAACCATGAAAATGAACAAAATCTGGCTACCAGTATTAAAAAAAACTCTAAAATTACAACAGCAAAACAACAGAGAGTAAACAATCAGGCACATCAAATCACTCTCAACAAAAGATTCCCCCCAGGCACTTCCAAGCCATCAAATGCTAATCAAGGTGGTCAGTTGAAACTTTCTCACTTGGCTCCAACAGACAAGAGTCCTTTGTCCCACCCTGGCCATTCCACAGATATATAAACCAATTTTCCTACTTCCAACAGACCTCACTACCTCTGAGGATGCTTGCCATAGATGCAGGCGAAACGTCAGGAGAAAATGCCTCTAGAACATGGCCATATAGCCCGGAAAAACCTACAACAACACAGACCAATGTTATCTTTTCCATAGTAGTGTTTTCTTCGTAGTAAAATAATATGGTTTCACTATTTACAAGGTTTCCATAACACAAATAAAGTTCAACCTTCACATTGGAGCTTCACACACGGAGGTCTACCTCACACACCTCAGGACAACACAAGACTTATTTAAAGCAATGATTTTAGCAGGAAAGGCGGTAATAGCCTGTGGGTGGAGAGATGAAAAAAATGGAATTTGGAAAATTGGAATAACTATTTATTTGAACAAGTCCAATCAGATATTATTGCATGTATAACCCAAGAAGATTCACAGGAGGACAAAACAGAAGAAATTAAAGAGAAATGGGCAACATATATGAAATGGGTAGAAGAAAGAGAAGCCAGCGCAGATATTGTACAAAGATTTCCAAAGTTGTGTTTGTGGTTAAAAATAAAGATATAGAGAGAAAAGTGGTGGGAGGAGGTGGGAGAAAAAAAATAAAAAAAATGTAATATGAATGAATCTGTAAAGAATGAGAATAGATGATATAGAAAGATGTTATTATAATGTATGCTTACAATAGACAATTATCTGTTCAAATATGCTATTCTCTTTTCAATAAAATTGTTTAAAAACACCTCAAGGCAACACTAGCTGTGGCCCGCTAACTCTTAACAGGCTTTGGCCTACTAACTCTTTCAAGGCTTGACTCATATTTTTGTAATTAAAAATATCTAGTTAATTTTTAATATTTCTGACAGAACTTTCCATAGGCAAGATCAGCAGATCAGCGGTTTAACCTTCTGCGCCACCTCAGGCTCCAAAATATTGATGTGTAGCACAAATTAAGTAAAAAAGAAAATCCAGAGAAAAAAGTAAAAGACCAAATGAGTGAAAGCAATAGGGAATTTAAACATGACAATTACCAGCTTTATGACCTTGAGAGCTCAGGCAGTTCTTACACTTTCTCTTACTCCTTGGTAGAGAGTGTTTCATGAAATAATTGAGGGTGGGAGCAGTAGACCTGGCACTGGGGGAATCTAAGCCACAGTCAGATCCAAATTTAAATCATTCCAAATGAATTGCTAAAAAGTTTTGGTCACTCTGACTCAGATTCAAATGATAATTTATGAGGACATCCCCAGAGTGAAGAGAGAGGGGACCAGGAAGACAGTTCCACCTTGTCTCCTTTACTAATAATATAGTATAATATATTGGATATACATATAATATTTATAATATTGTAATGTAATGCGATATAAAACTAATAATAAAAATACAATATTATAATTATATATTTTATATTACATGTAATATTACTAATAATATTACAATATAATTTTTTTTGGCGTATCAGGAGCGACTTGAGAAACTGCAAGTCACTTCTGGTGTGAGAGAATTGGCCGTCTGCAAGGACGTTGCCCAGGGGACACCTGGATGATTTCATGTTTTTATCATCCTTGTGGGAGGCTTCTCTCATGTCCCCGCATGAGGAGCTGGAGCTGATAGAGGGAGCTCATCCGCCTCTCCCCGGATTCAAACCTGCGACCTGCCGGCACAGGGGTTTAACCCACTGCGCCACCGGGGGCTCCATTACAATATAATGGTATAGTACAATTTATTTAGAGGTTTTCTATACCGGCCTTCTCAACCTCGACGAGGGACTCAGGTCGGTTTACAGCATATATAAATTACAATCATATAAAAGAGCAACAAGTGCAAATCATTACATATTAAAATAGTACAATACAGTGCAGTAAAAACATCATCATTACAGTTTCCTAAGCCAAATATAATAATATATAATACTGATATTGTGCTATGCTAATAATATAATATATTATATGTTTATATATCTTGTAAGCCTCTGTGAGTCCCCTTCGAGGTAAGAAGGGTGGCATATAAATGCCGTAAATAAATATAAACAAACAAACAAATAAATAGATAAAACTTCTGCCTCCTCCTGTTGAAATGAGGAAGTTTTCTGCAATAGAGGATGCATTTGTGAAGGAAGTCCTTTTGTGTTACAAGGCTAGATGGCTGTTACTGACATCTAGCCTTGTCTCATAAAGCCTTGGCATGTCCACAGAACTAGCCCTGAGAGCTGTACAAACTGCATGTTGCTCACCCCTTATGTAAACAATATTGTGTTAAAGCAATAGCGAGTTGTTGCTTGCCCTCAAAGTTTGATGCTTGTTCCAGAGAGCTACACAAGCAAGAACTCTGAAGACGGCCCACCAGCCAAGTCAAAGCGGTCCGTTCGGAAACGCAGCCACAGCTCCGACGAAGACTCCGAAGGCGAGGAGGGGGACGAGGAAGAGCGGCCTGTCCGAAAGCGTCTGAACCGGATCGAAACAGACGACGAAGACAACGGCAGCAGTGCCAACGACGAGGCCAAGAAGCCCGCCCCTGCCAGCAAGTCCCCGGAGCCCCAGGCTCCGCCAGACGTCCCCAAGAAGCCCTGCTACCGGATAGAAAGCGACGAAGAAGATGACTTTGACAATGTTGGGAAGGTCGAAAGCCCCTTGGACTACAGTCTGGTGGATTTGCCCTCCACCAACGGACAAAGCCCTGGGAAAACAATCGAGAACTTGATCGGGAAGCCTGCCGACAAGGTTCCCACCCCGAAGGACAGCACGGCCACTGCCAGCTCGGCGCCCAATGGGACGAGCGGTGGCCCGGAGGCAGGCGGCCCGGAGGAGGACGAAGACGAACTCTTGCGAGTGACTGACCTTGTCGATTACGTCTGTAACAGTGAACAGTTATAAGACTTCCATTTTTTGTGCTAATTTATTCCACGGTAGCTCATACCAGCGGGCCAGTTATTAAAAAGGTGTTTTATTTTTCCTAGAAAACTCTCCACTACAGTATCAATTTTCAGCAGTCAAGAACTTCACCAGTCCTGCAGTTTGGGGTATTTTTTTCTCTCTCTCCGCCGACCTGACCCCCTGTGATGTGACCAGGTTTTTTTGGAACGCTTTTTTGTCAAGATAATTACTTTAAATCCCCTGTTATCATTCTTCCCTCCTCCTCTTCTTCCGCTTCCAGATCCTGAACTCCATCTACGTACACAGACCTTGTAGTAAACGAGAGATTTGTATATTTTTGACTTTATATTTCCTGAGTGCACACACATTTAGAGGTGTTGGGGGCATGAGGGCTGGGATCGTGTAGTCGAAAGAAAAGCATTCCAAGTTGGTCAGGGCCCAAAAATCCGAATTGGGTGGGTGGGTGGCGGCAAAGGGTTGGGGAAGGGGCTGCAGAGGCACTTGTGCTCCAACTTTTTAATAGGAGATATATATTCTATTTAAATGTTCACAACTTAGATGGCAATTTAACAGGCAATTTTAAGGAAAAAGAAATAATAATCTTTACTGTTGCATTTTGTGACTTGTAGGTTTTAACTTAACCATAGTTCCTTTTAGTAATCGCTTTCCAGAAAAGCAGCCTTCATAATAAGAGACCCCTGAGGATTTCCACAATGGAGAGAGGCGGAGGAAGCACCATGCCAGGAAAGGATCTCGCGCCACCTTTTGATTTGCAGCTCCCTCTCTGATAAATGTCTTTTAAAAGTGCTTTGTACAGCGGGAAGTTGTAAACTGTTAATCGAGCTTTTGACCGTTTTGAGACTACGCGAGTGATTCATAACTGGGCTCTTCTTTTTAATGTATTGTTTTAAAATCCGGTGCATTCATGCACAATATCTCTAGAGAGAGGAAGTTGCAGTTTTAGCTGTGAAGAGACCAGATTGGGCAGCAAATCATTTTCGAGAGATGACAGATCTCCTGTAAAGAGAGAACTGATGGCCTTTAAGACCCCTTCAGTGCTCATAGTATCTACTTCAAATTGAAGTATGCAAATGGAGCAGGTGTTGTTTTCTTTCCTTTTCCTTCTGGGGGGTTTCTTTTGTTTGGGGAGGCATACATGTGTGTGTATATGTGTGTATGAAAATCACTATTAGAGAGACATTAACTATACTTTAACTATCTGGATTGTTTTATAATCTGCAGTGTCCTTTGCTGGCCACCCTTCATGTTTTTAATTGACATTTTAATATCAGACAGTTGCTCAAATTTATAATGGAGATTCCCATCCTCATTTTCCTTAAGATATCATTGTTCTCAGAGACAGGCAGCATAAAACTGGGGGCGTGCTACCTAACTCCACAATTTCTTGGAAAGATGGTCTAACAAGAATGTTAGTTCACTGCTACATTCTCTAAGCGCCTAGGCAGGCTTTCGTAAGTTTGCTTCATTCTCGTGGTCTCTGTGGAATGCACACATGTGGCATCAGAGTACCACATGTGTGGATTCCACAGAGGACCACTTGAAGAACCATGGTTACAGGTAAGCAACCATAGTTTCATTCTCGTGGTCTTTGTGGTATGCACACGTGGTACTCTGATGCCACATGTGTGGATTCCACAGAGGACCACTTGAAGAACCATGGTTACAGGTAAGCAACCATAGTTTTTCCTTTACTTATATTCAGCGTAATGCATGCATGGTTGAAAGTGTCAGCTTACGAAGCTTTCACATCTGGAATGGTCCTTCTTCCTTTCGAGTGTCTCTGTTTCTTTAAATGCTGGGTTTGGGACTTTATTCTGGTGCTGGGCCTGTTGCTGGCAACGGCCGCACTGGTCTTGCTGCTGGCACTGAAGTGAGAGTTCGCCCTCCCTTCACCCTCCTTATGCCCCAGCATTTTAGTTCATTTTTAGGTGTTTGTTGCTAGGCGCTTATGCATTTGGTTAGTTTGTTTATTTATTTCCCAGAACACTTTGAGAAGTGTATTTCAGAAGCATTTGGAGTATTTTATTTGAGAAGCCTTTCAAACAGGTAGTCCTTGAAGATCATGATGCATTGGAGTCGCTTTTGAGTCTTTTAAGTAGTTAAAAAGGCATCCAATATTAAGGAAATTGCAAAAGGAAGGATGGAGGCACAACCTGATAAAAATGGACCCAAGCTAAATGAGAATGTTTTATACCTACTGGTTGCATCTCTCTGATGGCTTTGCATAAGGGACAGTTGATTCTTCTTCAAAGCAGACTGTTGGCCCAATGCAAGATACTTCACAAGACAGTGTTGAGACTGTTCAGTCCTCTCCCTTTTCCTGTTTTTATTCCCTGCGTAGCATGGTAAGAAGAACCATCAGTTGTGTTTGTGTATCTTCTAGCGCTCTCTCTCAAATCCGCCTTTAAATGTCCGAGTCTCCAAATGTTGACAAGAGTTAGCTTACCTAAACAGCACCCTTCATGTGAAGCAAAGCGATAGCCAGTATGTATTCTAACAAGCTGTAAATCCACATGTTGTTATTTCAAATGGTATCTTGCTTTTCCTTTAGTTTGTATGATGCTGCAGAGCAACACAGCCTTTCCCTTTCATTTCCGTTACAGAGATTTGGAGATAACTGTTCACTTCCAGAAATGTACAGAAAAGAGTCTGGCAAAGTCTCTGCTAACTGTTGCTTTTGGAGGATAAAGCAAAAGAAATGTGAAAGTAAAATACTCTCATCCTTGCTATAGTCAGTTCTATAGTTCTTGTGGAGCAAAACTGCATTTTCGTTTCTTAGGCTGCGGGGTCGTTGGCACACTCTCCTTTTCGAACTGTCCAAATTGTCTGTTCATTTAATGCTTGATTAGTTTTATGTAATGAGTATTTGTGTGATAGAGGTAACTTTTCTAGAATAGAATTGAGAAGCATCACTTAATACCACTTTTTTAAAAAAAACAAAACAAAAACAGGCCAATTTCCCAGAACACTTTGAGAAGTGTATTTCAGAAGCATTTGGAGTATTTTATTTGAGAAGCCTTTCAAACAGGTAGTCCTTGAAGATCATGATGCATTGGAGTCGCTTTTGAGTCTTTTAAGTAGTTAAAAAGGCATCCAATATTAAGGAAATTGCAAAAGGAAGGATGGAGGCACAACCTGATAAAAATGGACCCAAGCTAAATGAGAATGTTTTATACCTACTGGTTGCATCTCTCTGATGGCTTTGCATAAGGGACAGTTGATTCTTCTTGTGCAGAGGTACAATGTGTGCAGAATCTATGGAAAATGATCACTATGAGTTCATCACTGTGCGCCGTTGTCCTAACATTATGTGCTACTTCTAATGTTGCATTGACTTGCCTCTCATTTCTTCCTGTAGAAACCAAGACAGGACTTCTTCTCTCCATTTTCATTTTGGAGATCCCCATTTTCATGTCTTCTCTGCACCATTCCAGTGCCCTTTTTTCAGAAGTAAAAGGCCAAACATTCCCACATTCTGTCAGGATCCCATTGGTTATCTAGACATTACACAATGATCCTGTTTGATTTCACAGCTGTTCCCATATATGTATCATATGACTGTGGGTTAAGGTCCATGGAGGTCTGTTTTCAGTTACGGCTGAGGTTACAGAGCATATTGTACTCTTAAACTAGAGTAGTCAATGTTTAATCTTTTCATTCAATTGAGTTTGATGAAACCTCATTCAGTTCACTTGGGGAAACCTCAACATCTCAAAGCAAGCAGTAAATTCGAAGTGAATGGTGACATACGTAAACTTCCTTCTAAAAAGAAAAACAACAGTTTGTGTAGAAGGAAGTAATATGGCTGTGTAGTAAAGTGTTGCATTGGAATGCACTTTTGCATCCCAAACTTTCCCATTTTTTCGGACTAAAAGCTTGGGAAAAAATCCCCCCAAGTGCCATCAAATCGCTTCAAAAACCAGCATCCTGCCATTGTCAATATCCCATGACTCCTAATGCTGGCCACTGCAGTTCAAGCGATCTTTTCGTGAAGTCACAGCTTCTCCTTTATATAGGAGAGGTTTTGGTGCCCTCAATATGAAATATTTTTCATATATTTCAGGAATGTTTTCCAGAAACAGTTGTATTCCAACTGAATTTGTAAAGACCACAATTGCCTCAGGATTCCCCCTTTCTTCCAGCGCTGCCCAAGTGGGTTATCAAAACTGTTTCCTCACAAATACATAGATTTATCTTGGTGAGTTGACAAGGATGACTTACAATTTTGTGTATTTACTTGGAAATAGATTCCATTGAGTTCAGTGATACATATATACAAAGAGGTTTACATAGAACTGGAGAGCAGCTTTTTCTTAATAACCATACTTCTAGTATTTGAAGAGTTCGTTCATTCTCTTTCTGAAAGAGAATACAGCAGAGTTGGATCTGATATTTTCTCCTAATGTAGTTAATGGGAGTTGCAAACTGTTTGGTAACAGTATAAATCTATTTTTCCCTTGGGATTGGGGGTGTAGGGCCACCCAAAAGTTGGAATAACATGGCCTCGATGGTAGTGAAGGCAGTCATCCAAAAGATAAAGTCTTTTTCCCTCAGCTGGAGTACAAATGCTACCAGAAAAAGTTGGAAATAATGCAGTATTTCCCTTCACAAGCCATTTCCTATATCTATCCTTGAACTAGATAACAGAAACTGCAGTATATTATTTGAAGGGAATGCTATTTTCATTGTTGTATTCTTGTGGGATACATAACTTTAGCATCTGTGTGAAAGCAACCCGATTGAATGCGTGTGTACATTAAGAGAGACTTCTTTTTCTGCACATAGCAGTAAGGTTTAACACTTCTTATAGAGTTACTTGGGCACAATTTAGGAAACGATTACTTCTCTGCCTTTAAAAAACATACCATGTGGGTTGCACCTTGCCTTTTAGAAATCAAATAATGTTAAGTGGGTTACATTTTCAGCAAATCTTGGAGGAAATGACCAAAACCGATCATGATTTAATTCCGAGATTGTGGAAGGTGAGGTGGCGGACTTTTAGATTATGGCCAGGTCTGGTTTGTGGTGGAGATAATTAAGGCTCCCATATATTTATACAAACACCTTTGCCTAGTAAATTTAGCTCTGCTGAATCTTTTCTGCCATATTTCCTAGTTCTATTAAAGGAGGGTTTTTTTGTAAGTGTGGGTATTCTTAATATGGAATATCATTAAAAGCAATTCATCTCAGGTAGGCTAAATTGGAACAGTTCAGAGTTTTACCAACTTGGCCTTATGTCTAAAATACATCTTAGCTTTTTCCATTTCTCTAACACCAGCTTCAGGATTTTCTACCCCTGATTTTGGTGTAATAATTGTCTTCCTGACTATTGGGTCTTTTTAAATGAACAGTGATAAATCACTGTTTGAATATCAATGTATCAACAGAAGTGGCTTCCTCTTTTCTCTCCTTTCTTGACCTAAAAGGTCTGAGTATTGTTCAGTCTTCAGTACAAAAAAATCAATGGTTTCATCTAAGATGTAACTCTCCCTTTGAACTTGATGGACTTCGAAAAGTGCTTACTTGGCTCAGTTGTGCCCAGTGCTTCAACTTC